ATCGTGACGATAACTATAAAATTTAATTACTCAGAATTAGTTAATAAATGGAAAGTTTCCATTTTGTTCATGAGAAGCCAAGGTTTTCTTGGTGCTTCTTGCAATTTGTGAATGCAAAAACAAAAGAAAAGATTATGTATCCCAAAGCTTAACTACCTTAAGAGATTATAATTAAGACCAGCCCCACCCGCACGTGCATGCGTGAATCCCTGCGACAGAATTCCGACATCATCGAATGCAGGAACAAATCCACATTAGCCAAAAACAAATGTCTTGTAAATCTTTTCTTTTTTTTTTTTGTTTGTTGCTTTCTTTTGTTTGCAACTGACACTGGAAATGATTAATGTTGGAGATTATGAAATACAAATGATTAAGGTTGAAATTATAGGATGTTAAATCATGAAGAGCATAATACATAAAAGGGAAAAAAACGGGGAAAACAAAAGAGAAATGAAATGGTGGTGTGTTGCTTTGTTTTTCCATGACTTTTTGCTCCCCTCTTGGCTTGTTTGCTGATGGCGATGATGATGGTGGTGGCACCTTGTCGCTTCCATCTTGGGGCCTGTCTCTTTCCACCACGTGGCTTTCACATGTTTACTTTTCCGACGACATGTTTCGACACGTACACGTGTGGAATCATGGTTGATTCCCATGATTTTGCTCTTTACAGCCCATCTATTTGTGGCCAAATCATGTGTCGAATTGCTGAATCATATACTATGCTCTATGATTATAGCTTGGAAAAGTGGTTTCCCTTTTGTTAATTCCGTAAAGTTCACACTTTAACAGTAACTTGTAGCATGGCTGGATCAATCATATGCTAAAAGCAGTGACTCAAGATCCAACATATGCATAAAATATGTTACAACCTTGGGGACATTAAATTGGCTTAGCATCAATCTGAAAACTGGGCCTAACCCCTTTTGGATATGGGGTCATTGTAAGGTCAAGACGCTGACAATCATAGTACTGTAAGTTTGGGTTCTTTCCATGGACCTTCTGGTGATGAACTGATGGCCTCTTCCTGAAAAAGCTAGCCCAACTTTGCTGGACTTGAATCTGATCTTCATCTGATGCTTTCATGCAAGGAAGTCATCATAGAAAATGATCCCGACCCAGCTGTCGCTGCTGCTGCAATGAGAGGAATAATGACTTCACTCCTTTGGCAAACCTTTATAGAACGTATCTCAACTTTGCTCACAGTTTTAACCACAAGTTTCAATGTTGATTATGAATTTTTAACTGAAATCTGAGCTTATATCTGCGTGCGAAATTCTATCGAGTAAGAAGAGGAGGAGAAGGTCGGTTCAATGGCTATCTACCATAACTGTTAAGACTTAAGACCTTCATATGCTACTGATTGAATCCATAGTGCAGTAGCTGAAGAATTTAAACCCTATTGGTATTCAGGCATAACTCCATCAGTCTGTGTGTTGGTAATTTGCCAGGCAAAGCCGAGGTACATAACTCGGATATAGATATATTCACAGAGATAATGAGGTAGCATATGTATGCTGACTGAATACAGGAGTTACCTTACAGGACTAATAGCAATGGAGGAGCTACGTTTCCTTTCTCCTCTGAAAAACCAACCACACGACATATAACGCAAACAAACTATCATCAAAAGTTACTAGCCAGAATTTTTAACATTGTTCATTTACAGGACTGGATCAGAAACGACGCAAGATTCAATCATCATCCTCATCTTCTTCTTCCTCCTCCTGCAATTGCAAAAGCCAATTGAAGTCAGAATTTATCAGAGAAATTAGACATACAAAAAATGAAAGTTTTAATACGAGAATCAGCTGTCAATGAATATGATCGAAGCAGATCAGTATTGAAATAGCATATCCCTTGATTAGGATGTAGTTGCAATGGATACAAAGCTAAATCAGCAGTAACTTTGGATATGTTGTTTAGAGCAACATATAGATGCATGGATGTTCAATTGCAGCTTATAGGTTAAATACATTACTTAGAAGTGCAGTAGATATAAAAAGGCTTTTACCATCTAAAACTGAAAACTGCTGCACAAGTTAAAATTGAAAAATTCCCTACAAACATAGACAAGGCAAGTATTCTTAGCTTAAATAGATTACCTCCTCACTATCTGCGTCATCTTTGTCATTCACCTGGGATTTCGATGTTTCAGACTCTGCTCCTTCCTCATCATCAGTACTTTCCTGAGTTAGACATAATGAAGTCAAGAGGGAGATCTTATATAGGATGAATTATGCATTTATTTCTCAAGAACAGAATGGCCATTATTAGTTTACCTGTTTCTTGTTGTAGGCTGCCATGAGCTTCTCATATTCTGATTTCCTTTTTGCTGCTTTCGCTTCATACGGAGCTTTCTCCTACCAGTTGCAACCCATAGAAGATTAGGTAAACATTTGAGGGGCACTGACCTTTCAAAAAGCTAAGAATCAAGCCATAGATAGAGAATGGAACTTACTAACAACTTTATATACCATTTCCCATAACTAGTTAATTTGACTAATTCATATATTTGATAAAATTCCAACTTGCGACATCAATCAGGAGATGCATATCTCAAAATCCACCATCCAGCCCTATGCAATACCATATATCTAGGTCCCCTGTAGTTAAGACAAGACTGGCATTGGCTTGACCATGCCATAATAGTTCCATAGTCGTCGAACATGTGATTGGTGCATAGCCAGGTCCAGTGGGAGCCACAGTGGAAGTTTTATGCATCACCTTTACAAACAGAATTCATGGTATTTTCCAAGTTAAAGGTGACCGTTGGAGGAGCTGTTTGACATAATTCATTGTCCATACACATCCCAACCAACACAAGTAATTTGAGGTGAAATTGAGCACTTACTGCATCAGACATGGACTTCCACTTCTCTCCGCCGGCTTTGCCCACCTTCAATTACAATATCCAGTAACAAAATCAATTGGACACTCCAAATGAAGAGATCTAAAAACTTTAACAGCAACATTTTCCTACTTACAGCTGAGACAGCTTTCACTTTTGGATGCTCTTGTTTGTAAATCTTTCTGAACTCTTCTCTGCAACCAAATTTATAGTTGAATGATATCTTGCACATGGACTGAAATTTTTGTTATTTGTTACAACCATCTGAGAGAAACTTACAGAAAAACAAAGAAAGCAGTGGCAGGTCTCTTGGGTTTGTTAGGGTCTTTCTGAGCCGGTTTCACATTCTTTGTGCGTTTTTTGCTACTCTTATCAGCCCGAAGTGCTGCCTTTCGCTTTCCAACAGTCCTTAAAGAGAAGATATTTACACATGATTAAATGCAAGATAAGAATAATGCTCGAAACAGTGACTCTCTGATCAACAATGACATGGAACAAAAGCTAAAGACTTAGAATAACAAAGTTACACAGAAATTAGACGACATTGATCACTTGAAGTTTAAAGCAAAAGAAAATCACCTGTCCTCAACAGGCTTTACTGTTTCCTTGTTGTCCTTCCTTGCAGCCGCCCTGCTCCTTGTTGCCTTCATTCTAACAAAAAAGCTTCCTGAAATAACCCTTACTTAATTAAATCCGGTGCATCCAACAAGCTGTCACTAAACTAACAAGGAATGCTAAATCTAGATTTAGATTATCATATTCAACTTGGGAGAAAACTTTAAATGAGAAATCTAGGATTAAAGTGCCAGGATCATTGTGCTTAAAGTAGTGTTCTTTGCAACAAAGACTGCATATTTTTAACAAAATTTTCAACCTTGGACCCAAACTTTGTTGAAAGTTTCCAAAGAAGAAATTTGAGCCATAAAAGCTAATCATTTCTGGGGAAAAGCAAGCTAGCTATATAACATCAAAGTCAAAGGATTGCTCCTTTCACCAACACACACAGTAAAAAGAAAATCAGACTATAAAACTAACAGAATTACCCAGATGGGAAAATTTGAGAAGAATCAAAAGCTATCAGGGGGAAAATCACACCGAGATCATGCAGGATCATAACAAAAGGCTTTTACAAAGAAATAAAACTATCAAAGCAAATAAACAGAAATTAAAGAAAGTTAATCTTAGATCAAACAGACGAAGCAAACCGTGCATAAAATTTGTAAAAGGAATAACATACCTCTTCAATGGAAGAGAAACGAACTCAAAGAAAGATCAGCAAAGAGAGTAAAACTAAAAGCAGGGAAAAAGAGAAAGAGAGAGAGAGAGAGGAAAGGAAAGGGTAGAACACAGGGGAGATGCCAAGAAGATATTTGTGAAAGGATGCATCAGAGTGACACGAGGCAACTTTTGGGAGGGGAGGAGAGAGTAGGAAGTTGACTGTGGAGGGGTGCTGCTGCTTTTTGTCGCTTTTGTTTTTAAGAGTTGTGATCATGCTACTTGCAGAGTATCTAACTTGTCTCACAGATTGGTTTCTCATTGGTTGGCATCAAAACCAGGTCAATTGTTTGAAACCACTGTGCACTAGTCTGTTCCCTTTTGTCTCATTATATTATTTGCATGGTGCAAAATCATAGCTAGCCCACTTCTGTGTCAGCTTGATTGTGTATTTATCTCTTCAAATTTTTCCTCTCCCCTCGACTGATTCGTTCCTTGCTGTAGGATTCATCATCTCTGTAAACACTGCAACTTGATGTTAATCCTAAGGGAAATTCCATGAACTTTACTTTTCGCTTGTCAATGTTATATCTTATAAGTATTTTTTTAAGTAATTTTTTTAATTGAAAGTAAAAGGATTTGAAATATATTTTTTAAATAAAAGATTATATATAAATGAATGAATCAAAATGTTTGAATACTTCTTTTATAATTTTATTTAATTTTTATTGTTTCAATCTTGAGCACAAAAAGGGATTGTCTGGTTAAAAAGTATCCTTAAATTAGATATGTGCTGGAAAATGACAGAACAATCCTACAAAGAGCCCACAAAATAATAAGGTGAAGAAGCCATCAACCATCCAACCTCACCCACATGGATAAGGCAGAAACAAGGGCCCTAAAAATTTTCCATTCACATCCTTCGATTTGATAAAAAGAATAGGAAACAACAAAACATCGTACAAATATTCTCTACATTGCACAATATATATAGTACAAAACTTGGTCTCTACTTGTAGACTAAGGCCTCTCTAGCTCTACTCCACCTGCAGCACCGTCTTGTCCTCAGCCATGGCCACTGCCACCACCGCAGCCGCCACCACTTCACATTTTTTTGGAACTCGTATCAACAACCTCAACCTAGGCTCTGGTAGAATCCAAGCTAGGTTTGGGTTTAACCTTGGCACCAAGAAAGCACGACCACCACCCAAAAAGGCAGCCCCAAAACGACCATCTGACCGCCTCGTTTGGTTCCCCGGTGCAACCCCACCGGAATGGCTGGACGGGTCGATGATTGGTGACCGTGGGTTCGACCCTTTTGGCTTTGGTAAACCGGCAGAGTACTTGCAGTATGACTTGGACTCGTTGGACCAGAACTTGGCCAAGAATGTGGCTGGTGAGGTTATAGGGGTGATTAACGAGACGACGGAGCTGAAGCCTACCCCGTTTCAGCCGTACTCGGAGGTGTTTGGGTTGCAAAGGTTTAGAGAGTGTGAGCTGATCCATGGTCGATGGGCGATGTTGGGTAGTCTTGGTGCCCTTGCTGTTGAAGCACTCACCGGAGTTGCATGGCAAGACGCAGGAAAGGTATGTCCTACAATGTACTATCCAATACGTTTGCATGAAATATGTATTATGTAATAATATAATTAAACATAAATTAAATCTAAAATCACTTGGTTAATTCAAGATTGCTACCCTGTTTATTTTATTTTAATTAAATACCCTTTGTTCTCATGATAATAATCTATATTATTTGGTAATCAGTTAGGGATATATATATATATATTCAATATAATATTTTCCATTTGGATTTATATATGTACTATAGTTTGTATTCTTCGGATTATTATATAGAACCTCATGCTTTGAAATGTTTGTGATTGTTTTCTTTAATACCATGTTTGGTGGAAAGGAAGGGAAAAAGGCTAGGAAAGAAAACAATGGAGGAAAGGAAGGAAAATTGTTTTTTCCTTTTTCTTTTTGGCACTAAAGATGAATAACAGAGGGAAAAAAGATATTAAATATGGATATAATTAATTAATTAATTAAATTATAAAAATATATTTTTATCTATTTAGAAGGATTAGATTTGAAGAAAAGGGGAAGGTGTTTTTCTTCCAACGCTCTTATTTTCTTCTTATCGAACCAGGATGAAAAGGAAAGATACGAAATTTTCCTTCCTACCAAACATAGTATTAAGGAAATTTTATATATTTCTTTCACTAGGGTCTGTTTTTATTTTACTCATAGATGGCAACTTCCATTAGGTAAGTGATTGTGAATAATACATATAATTACATTGATGGATTGATCATGGACTGTTCAACATGATTTATTTATTACAAATGGTATATAAATTCAACCTAGACATGGAAAATTTAATGTTATTTTGAGAGCAAAAAGATTAATTAAGAGCCTGGAGAGTAGGTAAGATGAGTAGAGGAAAAAGATTGATGCGTATTGATCCAAATACTTGAATCACAACCCAAAAAAAATCTGCCATTTGGAGGGATATAAGTGAGATCACAGTCCTTCGTGAAGGGGAGGTTGATCTTTTGGGACCATTTGAGAAAATGGCTGGATGCCACAACAATTTCATTTTTCTTCAACCAGTCGTGTCTTCTTGTGATCCAAGCAAAATTTTTGATTGCATTTGCTGCTGATGATGGCAAAATGTTGATGTTGATATGCCATGGACAGATCAAAGATGACAAAGTTGTCAGTTTAAATGCTGGTTTTGTTGCTTTTTCTTTTCTGTTTTATTGGCTGAGGTTTTTTTTTCTTTTGGTTTCAGGTTGAGTTAGTGGAAGGATCATCTTACCTGGGCCAACCACTGCCTTTCTCCCTGACTGCACTAATCTGGATAGAGGTCCTGGTGATTGGTTACATAGAGTTCCAGAGAAATGCTGAGCTTGACCCTGAGAAAAGGCTTTACCCTGGTGGGTACTTTGATCCCCTTGGCTTGGCCTCAGACCCTGGGAAAATTGACAACCTGAAACTGGCAGAGATCAAGCATTCCAGGCTTGCCATGGTAGCATTCCTCATCTTTGGAATCCAGGCTGCGGTAACTGGAAAGGGTCCTATCAGCTTCATTGCTAGCTTTAACAATTGATGCTACTTAATTATATTAGGATAACAGTTTGAATCATTTAGCCTTATGTTCTTGCACAAAAAAAAAACAAACCAAGTATTGCATTGCTGGAGAAATCTTATTTGTATGGAATTTCTCTAGGTGGACTGACCATGCTGATTATATATTTGTATATACCATCAAATCAGTTCAGCTCAATCATGAGCAGGAAAAGCCAAGAAAAGTAAAAGATTTCAGCATAAATTTAGAAAGAAAAATGGCCCAAACACAACAAAGATTCATGACTCTTTGGACTTAAATCATCCAATTGGATTTGTTGCCCTTACTAAATTGTGAGATTAGCTAGGTTTGGTAAGCATGGAACAAGAAATTCATGCTCACCAACAAAAACCCTATATCCTATCCCACCCTACTAATAACTATTACTTTTGCTAATTGATTAATACTCTATGACTAGCTAGAACATCATCACTTGATTAAAAATTAATTTAAGGTCTATGATTGGTGGGTGGTGACACTTTTACTTTTTTTTTAAGGTATTGTTAATTCTACATTAACTGTAAAATAAGAATAAAAAATAGCATAAATACCATCAATAATAAGCAAAATTCTTGGTTTTAGTTAGAAGGAAAAAAACTTTCCAGAAAGTAGGGGAAAAAAAATCAAAAGCAAAAGCAAAGACAAATGCCTTTTACCAAATACCAAATCAAACCAAACTTTCTACATCTTGCATTATTATGAACATTAAGGGAGTCTCCTACACTCATCATGATCTTGGAGGATTGAATGGGTTTATGGGGCTGCTTGAGGGTTAGGTGCAAGGGGGGCAAAAAGACTGATTTTGATTTTTGGATTGGGTTGGAAAGCTGTACCCAACCCATGTAGTAAACTATAAAGCATAAAGTAAGCAAGCAATGAGAAATGTGAGCTTGCTGGTGAAAAAACCCAAAAGCAAAATCCCTTCCAAAATGCAAGTTTAACCTCTTTTGATTGTGAAATTTCTCTTATCCAAATATATAGTTTGGTTTTATTTGGTCAATGGCAAAAACCCTGAAAAGAAAGAAAAAAAAATCTTTAAAAAGTCAACTTTTGAAACATTAGATTAAGTTTTTATTCGATTCATACTTTCTTTATTTATTGTTAATTGATTCTTTCGATCGGGTTTAAAAATATGACATCCCAAACTTATTATTAAGAACATGGTTACTTCTGATCTAAGAAAAGAAAGGAATATAAAATATAATTATGACATTCATAATTAGCCAAGCTTTTCACTTATTAACACTTAATTATTCTTTATTACTCCATTAGCAAAACTATGGTGCAAGTAAGATGGAAACCAACTTCTGCAAGAGAAATAGGAAATAGACCAAGGCAAAAGAAAAAAAAAGAAAGAAAGAAAGTAACCTGTAGATTACACGTCCTGGCCACTTTACAGGAAAAAAGGTAAAGATATATGGTGAAATGTGATAGCCTTGTTTGGTCCACATTTCTCGCTAAAACATCTGTTCAACGCATCAAAGCCTACGCAAAACATTGACAAGGGGAAAAGAGAAGAGAGAGAGAGAAAGAGAGAGGGGTAAGCAAAGCCAAGCCAAGCCAGCATAGGCAATCAATAAGTATTTCAACCATCCCAAACAACAAAGTTTTCTCTTCCCTTTCTTTCCTTTCCTTTTCCTTTCTTTTCTCTTCACTCTTAATTTCCATTCGTTTTCTTCAATTCTAACTACCCTTTTCATCAAACATCAATCTTTTGTTTCTTTTTTTTTTTATTTACTTATAAAAATCCCAACTTGATATTCAAAGTTTTCATTTTTTTATATACAAAAAACAAAGGTTCTGTCTTTTTATCTTTTGTTTGTTTTGTAAAGATCTGGTGGGTGGTGGATAGATGGGGAGGTTATTTGTGGTGAATCTTGAAGGGAAGGTCTATAGCTGCAAGCACTGCAGAACACATCTTGCTCTTTGTGAAGATATTGTCTCCAAGGTTGCTTTTTTTTTTTTCTTCTTAAAATTGGATTCCTTTGGCTTTTGGGTGATAATCTTGTGAAAATTTTCATCTGGGTGTTTTTAGTTTCTTTGGGTTTATTGTGTTCATGTAATGATGGTTTTATTTATGATTAGGAGATATCTAAGATGTTGCATAGCGTTTATTAGTACTAGTAATATTTAATACACATTTTCTTTTTGGATCAACTTTATAATTAATTGGGCACCGTGATTGTTTGGATTGAAAGTTTTTTTTTTTTTTTGGATAAGCTTAGATTGAAAATTTTCTATTATCAAACTAGGAATGCATCGAAATTTAACAGCACAGTGTGGTGGCAATGTAAATATGTATTTTGCTTTTGGAAGTTCAATGTTACTTGTATGTTAACTTATCAAGGATAAACTGGATGCTGAGAGGATATTAAATTTATGTTGTTATTGTTGTCTCTTTTGAGGCGTAAATGTTAGTTTAGCGTCTTTTGGAAGGGCTTGGCACTTTACGATGATGGCAAAATGTCGGTCTTTCGGACAAATATGATGTTAAACATATTTTCTTTTGTATTTGAAAGGACTTGTGCTAGAGATTAAACCAGCTATTCGGAAATGAATTGAAGTCTTATACCTTTTATTGTGGCATGGACTGCAATTTGTTCTGTGATGAAAACCAAGTCTAATCCGAAAGTAGTTGGGTCGGCTGTATGAGTTCTTTCCCCTCATTCATCCATGGTTGAGGGGTGCATCCTCCAAAAGATGCAGGGATGCCAAGTTTCTCCTAACTACCATAACACATATCTCCGATCTGTGTGCCTCACTTCATTTGTAACTATGATATGACCTTAAAATATGAACGTTAGATTTTGTTTATTTGTTTCTGTGATGTTTGACACTGGATACCAACCCTAAAACCATCTTACGAACTGAAGTTAATCTTTTCAAAGTAAAGCATGTGCTTGACTTAAGAGCTGCTTAGTGGATGATAATTATGGTAAAGAATGCAGATAGTGTTTAACTGCTAAAGTGCTGCTTAATACTACCTCTAATATCTAGATGGGAATGGGGCAATTATATACATAATATGCATATTGGTATAATTCATCATTTTGAAGATTTTTTCCCTTTTTTTCTCTTTCACATTGGTATTAACAATTTTCATGGTGCCCGAAAAGAAATTTAGTTGGGGTTCTTTTAGAAACACAGTTTCTAACTATGTGTTTTGCCTGTGTTCTTTTATTCAGTCCTTCCACAGCAGGCATGGGAAAGCATACCTCTTCAGTAAGGTGTAAGTTTTCTTGATTTCTGTCTAGAAATTAGTCTGAAGAGGACCAACAACTCTAATACTGGGATATGCCATAAGGTGCCAGTCACTTCTATTATGATAGAATTAACCATAGGGTTCTTAAACTATGTTGTGGTTGTGAGCATTTTATTGTTCATACCTTTGGATAAGTGAGATGAGGCTAGTTATATCTTGCTGATTGGGTAATAAATAATTCTGCTTCTTGAATTAGTTGTTAATTCTAACAATTTGTTTACTTCTTTTAGAGCAAGTAATAGCCTTTAATAGCTCAAAAGCATAAGGTTTTTTTGCCTATTATGTTTATCATTCTTAGCTTTTTGAATACAAGACAGAGCAGGAGAGATGAATGACAGTATGGGGGGATTGCAGGTATCATGTTTTTAATGGGCTTAACAGTGAACTAGGATGGTCAAGGATGGAATTCATAGACATCCCACCTACATGATCTTTTGAGAAAATGAGATGTGATCATCTGTACACAATGGTCATTTTCGTAGATAAATTCTCATCTCCCATTATTTCACAGAGTGAATGTCTCTTCTGGGGAGAAGGAAGATAGACATATGATGACGGGGTTGCACACCGTGGCTGACATCTTCTGTGTTGGATGTGGATCAATTGTGGGGTGGAAATATGTAAGCTTTAGTGATACAGATTTCAAAATTCATGGTTTTTGTCTATATACTTGTTGCTGTTATTTACATGGATAGTTTCTTTCAGGAAACTGCCCATGAGAAGAGCCAGAAGTACAAGGAAGGAAAATCCGTCCTTGAGCGGTGAGTAAATAACCAGAAATATGGAGAAAAACTATGAATCCGGTTAGAGTGGATGATCTTAATAGAGATTTTGTGGATCATGTTGTTGATCAGGTTTAAGGTCTCTGGTCCTGACGGAAGCCATTACTGGGTCAGCCATGAGGCACATGTTGGTGGGAGTGATGCAGATGATGTTTGATTAACTATGAATTCCGGTCCATTCCAATTGTTCATTCTTTAGCCCCTTGTTCTCAGTCAGCTCATCTGAATCCTTAAAACTGGGCATTCCTTATTGAAGCAGCTTGTCCAACCTGCTGTGAATAACATGATTGGAAAAACATTGAATTGTTCATTCTGATTTAGCTAATGTCAAAACCTGATTGAATATTGTGTTGCAAATTGAAGTTTCAGATGTCAATATTCATAAACTTTACTCAAGGATTTCTATCTTTCACGCAGAATGCTAAAATTTACGCGCCTTAAATCGTCCTTTGGTTCATATTTCTGTCACGTAAACCTCATTCCTCATTCATTTCCTCAAGGTTTGCACCCAAAATTTTCAGGTTGAAACCTACAAATTTCGAGTTTTAATCCTTGGGGTGTTGCCTTTGAGAAGAGTCTAAGCTCTCTGATTGAAGTGATTGATATATGTTACTTGCAATTCAATCTTTAGTACTCCATCTTTAGCTTCATGTTCAAGGCCTAGTTTGGATTGAGCTTTCTATCAATTAAACCATTTCCCTCTGAAATCATACTAAAAATAGAAGGTTTAAAAGAAAGAATGAGTTCATTGAGATATCTTCTTGCGTGACATAATCCACTAACTTGAATAAGTTGAATTCTGTCACCATTATCAATCAATTCATATACTTGTCTAATTTATTACCTGAAGGTTTTTTCTTATATATAATTATTCTAATAAGGAGTCTGCCTCAAAGAGAACCCATTTACTTACTATTAACAGTTTCTTTAAAATAAATAAATAAATAAATAAAGAAGAATGACTGATGCTGGGTTGGCATCCATTGATATTGTGGAAAAGTAATGCATGGCATATTCGGATATTCCCTTTGAAAATGGGATTAAGTGTGTCATTGGACACGAATTTGTCTCATAAAAGAATAGTATAAACATTTGAGTATTTAATCATGTTTTAGTACACAACCAACATAAGATTCACGACTCTTCTTTGAGACCGTGAGTCGTAACATCTCAAACGTGTAATCAATCCATAGCACAAGAGAAAAGGTATTAGGTACGCCCTTGCCATTAACCAGATGATCTAATGGCAGCACCCATCTTTTGGTGGGTTGTTCTTTGATTCAAGCTATAAAAGATTCATGTCGAGCACCCTGATTTCAACAGAAAAGGAATCAGAATATGCAATTTGGGAGGAATAAGAAGTTTGGGTATTTGCCTATATTGTATAACTACAACAATGATGAAGAGAGGGGGAAAGGGAGGGGGGGAGGGGGCGGGGTTTGGTTTGAGGAAAAGCCCTTTTTTTGCTTAAAGAGGCAAACATTTTTATTTAATGCCTATATATTGTCACTACAAGGAGAAAGCAGCATATTCGAATTCCTCAATTCGAAGAAACCTACTGCAATTTCAATTGGCAAACCAAGAGAATAAGTTCACATGCACGCAAGCTGCATAGAGGAACCTGGATTAGGAATTTTCTGCTTCTTAACTGGATGAATTAAAATGGAAGTGATCCCTGATCCCAGAAACGAACTTTGGAACAGCTCTCCTTCAGCAACCAGAAAGCTTGGAAGACTTGAATGTAAAATTGCTTCAAGACCAGGTTTCTAAGTCAAATACGTTTAACCTAGTGAATAAACCATTCGCTCAGACAGCTCTAAGCCCACCACTCTCTGGTAGTTGTGCAATTGCATTTCTAAGTAATTCCTTTCAGTGGGACCAAATGCTCGTTGTAGATCCTTTAAAAAGAAACAATTAATTAGAATAAAAACATTTACACAATGCTGAACAGGTTGCACTAGGAGACAAGTAAAGAACAAGCATCTAGCATTTACTTGCCTTGTATCTTAGTTGAGATCCCCTCAGTCCAACTAAAACATTAGTCAAATTGCCATCACCTATTGCAGTAGATCCCAAGCCACTTGGTTCTGGGTCCAATTCATCATCGGAGCTCTCAGATTCAATCTCAATCATCTCTTCATCATCATCAATAGGAACATCATTCGACTCTCCTAGTCCAATGTCATCATGCTGCAATTCCATGACACTTTCAGGAATACAGGATTGGGAGGACTCTCCATCTTGTAAACTGGCAAAATCAGATAAGATGACATATCTCTTTTTATCAAGCAACGGCCTCGCTATACGAAATGGAACCCACCTGGAAATATCATTTCAGCTCATAAGACTCTGAATGTCACTGGTATAAGCAGACAGACATAAACATGCAATTCAAGATATTCGACTCTAATTACATATAGAAAGGCAGCACTTGAAGATGAAATTTTCACATAAAGTCAAGAATATCAAGCATTGGATAAACTACGACAGTTGGATCATTGGAATGATTCAACAATTCCTCGATGCCTTCACTTCTTGGTCATTTACCTTAAGAAACTTAAACACCAATGCAGTAGAAAGTATTCACCTTATGGAGATCAAAATAATCAAACTAAAGCTAGCAGAGGTTTCCGGAAATCAACAAATGTGTGTATGTGAGTGTGTGTACATGCACATAGCCACTTGGGGTAGAACTTACTGGTAACGAAGAGGACAAAGAAGCTCAGATGGGTAATATGCTGCTTTGTATCTCATCTTGCTGCAGGAGTGTATGTAATAGCCCAGATAATAATACTGAAGACCAGCACTGTAGGCTTGATTCTCTTCCACCCAACCAATTTCTTGCAGAGCTGAATACTTGCCCAGTGATAAAAATGCGTAATCAGGATCCCAGAATAAATACTTACTTGACAAGCATCCAGGAAGGATGTCTATCACACCAACTGCAACTAGCTTGCCATCAATAATGTATTGCTGATGGAAAGAGCCAAAGCCACATGGAGGAACCATGCCATCAGCAGAGGGTGAAACGAATAATAAGGGAGTGTCAACAAGAAACCTCCTGTATGAGCTTTCTGTGACATGATCTGGTGTATCATTATGCACTTTAATCTGATATCGTCTATACAATGCATACTCTTCTGGATCAAAACTGGACTTTTTCAAACGGATCTCAAGCTTCCTCTTTTTTCCTGGAGGATGCTCAGAGCTCTTCTTTTTACAAGAGCTTTTACTTCCACTCTCAGATTCTACAGGCAGAGCAACAATTTGAACATCTCCACCCGAAGATACATTTTTTGCAGCAGAATAAAAATTAATATGTCCATTGCAAGCTCTAATGGACAGGCCAGAAATGTTTGCTAGCTGATTCAAAGAACATGCCAACTTTTCTGCAACAGATTTGGGGCATAGACCATTTTCTTCTGCACTATGTCCTGACAATCGTAATTGTTGCACATCCTTCTCAGCTGAACATGTCCGCCTCAAAGTAGCTGCTATTTGGAAGGCAATGTTGCTGGAGTATAAAAGATCTTCTGTCCCTTCAACTGATAACTTTCTTTTGGCATGTGAAACCTTTTTGACTGCAGCTTTTGGCAATTGAATTCCAGAAGGAAATTCCCCACTTTCAACATATGTATGCACCAATTTGTCTATTAGGTCAGATAAATGATGCATGAACTCTTCTGCCTTATTTTCCTCTTTCTTGCCACAAGAGAAAGATTCATTCGCTGCTAAGCTTGAAATAGCATGACAGACAGAACTGCCTATATGCTTAGAAGTATTTGGATTTTCTGTAAGTTCACTTGGTTTTCTCACCTCAAGCGTGCCATCTAAAAACCTAGGCATACACTACTGTCAGAACTAAGGATCTGCAAATTCCAAAAGAATATGGTGGACGCATGGTATAATGTTTCATATGTAAGTGAATAATTAAGACCAAACGCAGGATATCTCCATATTTGGAAAACCGTGCAAACAAAACCCCTTTGGTAACTATAGCCTAGGACTAAGAGCATGGTGATTAAATGGCTCAATTACAAGAGCTTATTTAGAATATGAAAGCAACTTCCTTTCAAGCAGTCCGATGAAAAAACAATTACTATAACATAAAAAGATATCAAGAAACTGAGATAGAGGTAAGGTATGACTATACCTCTGCATTCGTCTATATATTCGGAGTTGCTCTTTAGAAGGAACAAAATCACTTGCCTTCAAACGAATAGTATAAGATGGGCAGCATGTCCTTTCCATCTCAGGTTTGTAAAGGAAACATCCGGATCTCCTCCAACCACAGTCAAGAAGATCTAAAAAGCAGCAATAGAGAAACAGCATCAACCAACAAATATAAACACTTCAATACGAAAGAAAAAATAACAAATTAGAAACGAACAATTCAGATAGCCTTAATGATCACAACCCCACACCTCTCATCTCATTCAAATTCAACTTTCACATATCGATATTGACAAGGTGCTAATCCCGATACACACACAAATCCCTTACAAACAAATTAACATTGTTCCTCTTTCAATAACCCGAAATTTCCTAATGCTGAATTACACATTCCAATTGTTCATTTCTACTTTATGTTTTCATTTAAACATAACAGAAAATGGCATGATCAAGCATTGTCTTCTCAGCTAACAATACGAAAGCATAGAATTCCCCGGAAAAAAGCACGAAAAAATCGAACCTTGATAATCATTAACTGTAATACTATGAGCCCATAAACCTGCAAAATCCAACAACAAAAGGAAAATAAAAAGAATCAGAAATTATCTACAAAGACATCGCAAAGCTCAAAATCATTTACCGATAATTCACTTGATATAATCAACGCTTAAACCTAAATCAATTAACTACTAATACGATGAAAATAAAAATCGATGAAAATTATTTGAAAATTAAACAAAAAAGGAAAGAGAACTTTAAAAGGACCGGACCGTGAGAGACACTGGTTCGACCGGAGGATTTGCAATAACCGCAGGAGCTTCTACGGCGGCCGCAATCGACGACGACGCTTTCTTCCCTGCTATTGCTGCTGCTTGCTTCGTTTCTCATTTTCGATTCCTTTTCGCAACCAAAAACAAAAAGGAAGAAAAAACCGACTTTCAATCCTATAAATTTCGGAGCTTTGTTTATATGTTTAAAACGACGTCGCTTTTCCAACCAGAAAGATCCCCTCTTTCTACCTCCACTGAATGAATCTTCGAGCTTCCCCGATACTACGCCATTGACGAGATATTATTATATTCCTGTTTTCTTCCTAAACTATTTTACTTTTTTTGTTTCGTGCGAAAAGAAAGGCTAAAAATGGATAATAATTGAAATAAAATAAAATAAAATAAGAACATTTGTTTTTACTGGTTTGCAGTTAAGGACCTAAAGAAATTGTATATTCTGTAAATGACCCGAATTGGCATTTCATATTTTCAATTACAAACTTAAAAACTAAAATTATTGAAACTAAGAAATTAAGAAACTATAAGCGACGATTATAAAATTCCGACCTTAACTAGACCATATTGTCAAGGACTTTGAGGGTTGAAAATTGATTAAAATACTTTAGTCTATACTTAATGCTATAGACGATTTATTCATAATATCTCTTAATATTAACATCGATTTTATTATATATATTTTTCTTTAAATCTTATATTTGTGTTAGAATCGAATTTTAATAGAAATTACCTCTTGTATCCTGCAATTGAGCACTCTTTACTTCTTTGAAATAGAGTTAATATACTACTCATGATCTTTTATTATTTATAGGATTTTCTAGACATCTCATTGAAAATGAGACTTTCAAAATCCCAACTCATCAAGTTTATCTTTTTTGACTTGCTTTACTTAACTTAGAATTACCTTAAGCCTTTTTCTTAGATGGTGGACTCGGTCTAACCTTACCTTACCTTACCTTATTTTTCCCATGTGATGCTTAAGCTTATAAAACATCACTTAACAATGACATCTTTGTTAATATTCTTTGGTTAATTTGTGTAACTTGGTCAATCTTTCAGCCTTGAAATATTCCTCTTTAATAAATACAAGGAAGACACGGGCAACCAGCCCAAAGAACCAAAACTAAAGAAGAAGAAAGATGCGAAAAGTCCAAAATGTCTTTCTAAAAACACCAAAAAGACCAAAACACGTGTCAGACTATGAAAGGACATGTACATGAGATTCATTAAATTAAGATTTACTTGGTCATGCCTAAACTTCTCAAAGATTCAAGATCATTTAAAGGTCAAAAACTCTCAAGCTTACTAGCTTGTAAATTCAGGAAAGCTTCGAATAAACTCTTTTGTATTCAAGAATCTTTGTCTTGGTGCATAACAACAGTTAGTTGAAACGTAAGCAAACAACCTTAGCTTGACTAACCATGTTCCGAGTTTAAATTAAAGCTTAAAAGGGTTTGTAATTTTTACTTGACTCGTGTTGCTAGGTGTTTATATTTTTAATTCAAAAAACATATTTCATAATAAAGTAAAACTCTTATTTGTAGACTCGAGACCCATCTTATTTCTTATTTATCCCTAGCTCTTTATAGGCTTGATTAGGTTGACTCAAGAGTAAAAATCATAATTAAGGAAAGAATTATACATACATCAAGTGACTATTCGATATGGATGATGTTTAGCCTCCTACTATCTTTACTCGACAAGAATTGTTGGGTAATTTTTATATTGATTAAGTGTAAATTTAGGAAAAAACGGTTTTTAAACTTGATTCTTTTAAGATATATATGTATTTAAATTAGATACTTAGTATAATGAGATTGAATATCGAAATAATAAACGTATTTATATTTTTAATAAATCAAGCTTTGTATATTAATCTAAGAGTCAAAAATGATTATTCTAATTTAACGTTATATAATATGTAATTAAATATTTAATTCAATGATTGATGCATGTTCGTTATACTCAAAACATGACCTAATCTCTTTTTTTTTAAATAATATAAAGAAAAACATTATAATAACTTAGAAAGCTTGGCCCGAAATGATGCAATTGGGCCCATGGATAGGATTAATGGGCCTGAGCAAGAAGATGAAGAAGCCCATCAAGCCCATAATGGGAGGAATTGGAATATTTGAGAGTCGAGGGGCATGACTGCAAAATAAAAAATGATCCAAAAAATGAAGTATTTAAAAAAAGAGGGTATTATCGTGATTACTCACCCACCTAAAAGCAAAAATCTGAAAACGTAGCTTTTAAGTGAGAGAAAACAACGAGAGCTGTAGTTACAGTTGTCCCGTCATTCAAGATTTCCCTTTCCTTCCCATTTCACACCTCCCTCCCTCCCCTTATTTACACTCCTTGCCACTCTCCGCCATTGTCGTTTTCCCTCTTTCTTCCTTCTTCTTCTCCTCCTCCTCCTCCTCCCAATGTCGTCTCGCATTTCCAGCTCCCGAGCTCGACCTAACTCTTCGAAACGCTGCGTTTAGAGTTGGAAAGATTGAAAAAAAAAAGGCTTCTTTGATCTGTTTTGAGAGGAATTTTTTGAGATAGGTGAAGAAAAGATGAATCGAAGCTTTAGGGCTCAGCAAGAAACGGCAATGCAAGCGGCGGCGTTGAAACAACGGCAACAATTAAGAGCTTCGATGATGAAGGAGAAAGAGGAAGAGCTCGCATTGTTTCTCGAGATGCGGAAACGAGAGAAAGAGCAGATTAATCTTCTTCTTAATCACTCCTCCGAAGACTTCGATGCTCCTTTAGGTAAAGTTTTGAAATTTTCTTAAAATTTAAATTTTTTTTCGTGATTTCGTTTTGAAAACTTTTGGTTGTTGTGGTAATTTGGAAATTTTTGGAACTTGCAGGATCTAAACCTGGAACTTCTCCGATATTTAATCTGTCGGCATCGACAGCTACTCCGGCGAGAAAGACGGCTGCTGCTGCTGATGATTTTCTTAACTCTGATGGTGATAAAAATGACTATGACTGGTAATTTGTTTGTTTATTTATTCATTTTAATATAATTTAATTTATTAATTTAGGTATCGTTTGACTGCAACCAAAATGCAAAAAGCGCCTTTCGATTTGGAAGTGAATAATAATGTTAAAACTGGCTTTACAATTTAGTTCTTTCTTTATTTGTAATTAATAATAGTACTGGTTTATTGTAGCTTTTTAAGAAGTAATAAAGAGGAATTAGCAAAAAGGCAGAAGCAATAGGAACAACCAAACAAAGCCTTCATTTTATAAGTCATATTCATGCTTAGCTTAGTATTGCTTTTGGATGGATTTTTTTTTTTTTCGGTTGTTGTGTATTCTTTTATCATTTATTGGTAGGTTTCGGGTGATTTAACTTAAACATGGCCAAAGGATTTCGGTTGTTGTGTATTCTTTTATCATTTATTGGTAGGTTTCGGTGAATTTACTTAAACATGGCCAAAGGATTAATAAGGCAATTGGAAGAGAGAGCCAGAGAGGAAAGGAAACAAAAAAGAAGGATGATAATTATTGATGACATGTGTCATTGATTAAAGTTAACAATTTGATGGTTGTGATGGGCATTTTTTAACATGTGCCCTGGGGTCAGTACCAGCAACTAGAGCATTTATGCTTTCTAAACTTTGGTGGCTGCTTTTGGTTTGGGCTTTTTTGAAGTAAAGTATTGATGACGACTTGTTATGTTTCCTTTTGATGAATTGCTTGCAATCTTGTACTGGGAACTCGAACTTCACTTTCCTAGTTCTTTTGAATTGATATGAAATATATATCATTGTTAAAACCTTGATTCTGTTTGATTCTCATGGTTCTGTCTCCTTTCTGTCACCAATTTAATCAGACTCGGACGTCATATTTCCTGAATCCTAGTTTTATTCCTTTTGCTTTGTTTTCCAAAAAGAAGTTATAAAGTTTGTAGGTTGTAGCTGCTACTCCATAGACAAATCTAGACTAGTTGCTTCAAAGTGTTAAGTTCAAGGTGTGCGAAACAACTCAAATGTTAAAGATCAATGTCAAATAATTAGTTAACAATTTCCTTCGATTATTTTTGTAATCAATCAGCTTTCAATACCTTGATATAACTAAAGAAATGGTCCCAAGATAGGGACTAGACTGTGAACTTCTTGTTTTGGCGGGGCTGAAGCCTACACTAAGGATGGAAAGAACTAATACTTGGTGGCTTGTTTGAATCCAGGAGTAACCAACACTTGATTAACTTCACTAAGCTTTTAGTCCTTTTGCTTTAAAGACTGAAATTCTGACATCTTTTAAAGCGTTGGTTTTTAAGGATTGTGGACTTGTAACAAGTTTAAAAAAAGTTCTTAATTTATTGAAACATTGAAAAAGTAAACTTTTGTTCTGTACATGTTTTAGTTATTTCCTAGTCAGGTTCTTAGCTTCGTGATACTATTTGCAACTTCATGTTGTGAATCTTAAAATATGTGTATCCTTGATCTTAAGAGTGCTAAATGATTTTAAAATATGGGTTTTAAATCCAAAATCATTTAGATTGTAAAAGTTTTTGGATGAACTCCAGCCATCTGTTGAGAGATGTGTTAAGATCATTACATTTGGCTCAGCTTTGTATTAATCCTTTCTTTTCCACATGGATGTAATTATGTGAAAATAGTTTCTCAGTATGACGATATTAACAGGAATTCTTTCCATTTCAGGCTTTTAACACCTCCTGGTACTCCTCTTTTTCCTTCTTTGGAGATGGAGTCGCAAAAGTCTGTAATGAGTCAGATTGGTACTCCAAAGCCTCGACCTACTGCCCTGAAATCTAGAGTAAGAAAAATTTCTTTGTACTATAATATGGATTATATGTATTTTGAAAGTTTGGATATTGGATGATTAAAATACATGATACAGTAATTGCTGGAAATAGGAAGTTATCCCATCCCACATTTGTTAAATGAAAGTCCGATCCTTGTAGGCCTTGTTTTCTATAAAACTTAGCCCTGTGTTGGGCATTTTGCTGTAAAATTTGATTATTTTCCACCAAGCTTGTAGATCAGAGTGTGGCCCGGAATCGGCAAAATTAAGGCCCTTTATTTTTGTATCTGCATTAAACAGTCTAATTTTGGGATTAGAAACTGACATGGATGACTGCCTTCTATCTTGGAACTCATTAATCGCACTTTCTCCATGTGTGTTTCTGACTAGCCATTACAATTCATTAGTACTATTTTGCACCTTAGCAGGAATTACTACTATAAATGCCTAATTTAAGAAGCATTTTGAAGTTTTAAAACTCTTTGTGTACCTGTTAATATATTATGGACTAACCATATTTTCAAAAGTATTTTTGTATCTTAAAATCCCAAAAAGATTGTTTCCATGGTTATTTTTATGTTTTTGGACCTTTATGTTTTATGATGATTGGGTTGACGAACTTATTGGAAATTTTTTTGTTCATTATGTTTATAGCTAGCAAATCCCCAGCCAGAGTCTGCTGCCAGGGGCAACTTAGCACCGAAGCAGGCGGCTCTGTCCCCTGGGTTGAATTCTTCAAGTACAGGCTTTCGCAGGCCTTCATCATCGGGGGGTCCAGGTTCAAGACCTGCAACACCCACTGGACGCCATACATTAACTGGAGCATCCAAACCTACAAGATCATCAACACCAACAACTCGGGCCACATTATCGTCAACTAAGCCCTCACCATCTGCGACTAAGCCTGTGACTTCTGCAGCAAAGCCTGTGACATCTGCAACTAAGCCTGCGACAAGGCCTGTAATGTCCACAACTAAGCCCACAGTTTCTGTAACCAAGACTGCATCCTCTGCAACTAAACCCACAGTCTCTGCAAGATCCTCCACACCAACAAGGTCCACAGCTAGGTCTTCGACACCAACTGCAAGACCATCTATACCTTCATCCAATCCTGTATCAAGAGCAGCCACACCAACTCGCCGACCGTCAACTCCATCAAGCACTTCTAATGTATCTGCTCCTCCAATTAAATCATCACCTTCAGTCACAAAGCCAACTCCTGCAGCTTCCAGAAATTCTGTACCATCACGTGGTGCCTCTCCGACAGTAAAATCTAGACCATGGAAGCCTTCTGAGATGCCTGGTTTCTCACTTGATGCTCCACCCAATTTAAGAACATCACTACCTGATAGACCACTTTCAGCCACTAGAGGTAGGCCAGGAGCACCAAGTTCTCGATCTTCTTCTGTTGAACCTGGTCCTACTGGTAGACCAAGACGACAATCATGCTCTCCTTCAAGAGGACGTCTCCCTAATGGTTCTATGCTGCATGTCAGTGGGAGCTCCGTTCCTGCAGTAAGTCGTGGGTATTCTAAAGTTAGTGATAACTTGAGCCCTGTGGTAATTGGAACTAAAATGGTTGAGAGGGTGATAAACATGCGAAAACTGGCACCACCCAAGCAAGATGATAAACATTCTCCTCATGGTAACTTGTCTGGGAAGTCTTCATCACCAGATAGCTCAGGCTTTGGAAGAACACTTTCAAAGAAATCGCTCGATATGGCTATAAGGCATATGGTAAGTATCTCCTTAAATTTTCTATGGCGATATCTTTTATATTTTTTAAATTAGGATCCATTATGCGAGAGTACAACCATCTAAATACGCTGTTGTCAAGATATCCCAAATCCTCTAGTTAATAGTTGTATGTATCTGGATAACATGCTTATCCCTCATTCGTTCAAGTCTCTATCAACTTTTTGGTTTTTATGGGCCAATACATATAGAAATTGACAGTTGAGGGGAAAAGTTAAAGTTAATTATTTCTCTGATTTCGATATTATCTTGAGCAGGACATAAGGCGAAGCATTCCTAATAATTTACGGCCATTGATGATGAATATTCCAGCGTCATCTATGTACAGTGTGAGATCACGTCCTACACGAGGCAGAACTATTAGCGTCTTAGATTCCCCTCTCGCTACAAGCAGTAATGCTAGTTCGGAGCTTAGTGTGAATAACAATGGCATTTGTTTAGATGGGAGCGAAGTAGAAGATGATATTGGCAGTGAGAGAGGTGGTCGATCCCCTGCCAGTGTGCATGCCAGATGATGGTCAGTGGTGTAACAACCCTGAGATATGACCATACATTATTGTTTCCAGGATTGAACCACGCCAGAATTTTTATTCTAATATCGATGTAAAGCTAATTAGATTTGTTTTACTATTGTGTAATTCACGATCTTTGTATTATTAAGGGATCGCCAGGTAGATGCTAAACATGTTTCTTCCCCAAATTCTACACGGTTGAGTTGTTGTGAACTAGCTTTGTAATGGTGAAATTCTGTCATTTAAAAAAAAAAACTAGAGATCAGCTTATCTTCCTACCCCACTGTTCCCAATTGGAATGAATTTTATTTTTGAGATGGAAATTGAAGCTCATACAAGTTGCAAATACCCACCACTCATAGGCCTGTTTCGTCTCCTTGTCTATCAATATCAGAATTCTGTAATCCACTAATCGTATGAAAACAGCAATTGGAAATGGCTTCCTGTCTCTAATTGAGAATTAGAATCACAACTAAAGAACAAGTCATTAAGATATTCAAAATGTTAATTTGATAGGTTACCTTGCTTGTTAATTTTATCACGAAATTATTATTATTTTTTAAAAAAATTAAATTAATAAAATATGTAATGTTCATATTTATAAGTTCTTCAAAATTCAATATGGAATTGAAACATTTTTTGTTTTCGTCAACCACCTTACTTGTTTTCTTTTAAAGATGTTTGGTGTGGATCTAGTTTATATTCAATTCGCTTTGATATTGTTTTAATACAAAACTTTTACTTTTTGTCTAAAAAATTAATTTGATAAAATGTATACTATTTTCGTTTATAAATTTTTCAAAATTTTTCTGCCTATCGGATATGAGATTGAAATACACTACTTCCCTATAGGTGACATTGGCAACTTGTCTTCTCATAAAAAGAAGCATGAAAGCTGAGTGATAACTTTTAGCATGTGAGCAGGCTCTTTCAGATTCCCCCAATTTGCAAGAAAATTCAAAGGCTTTGCAGCTGTATTATTGCTTGCAGGACCATTCAGAAAGACGCAATGTCCACTTGGTCCCAGAAAGTGACTATAGAAAGAAAAACCTATCGAGTTCCAAAGGGAAGACAAAAAGGTTGGCCTGTCATGAAAGAAAATGTTTCTTAGTATGGCAGTCCATGAAAGCTGGACCACATCTAACCACCCATCTAACTCTGTGTTTTGCAGTTTGCATAGAAGTGGTTACAAAGAGAATAGTACTCGTCTTTAAATCAGGCAAATGCAGCAAACTGTGGGCCCTAATTCTTCATAAGATCAAGCTTTCTGCATCAGAATTGTTTGGTGGCTTCATTCCAATAGGAGAAAAACAAAATTAATGTAGCCAGGAACTTCAGATGCTTGAAGAACTGTAAACACAGACAGCCATGGATTACAGTAGATTCGATCAACTCTCCCTAGGTTTGAAGCTCCTACAGCTATGGATATGCTCCAGTAACCATTTCTGTGATTCGGATTTCCAACGTTTTTAAGCATGAAGAGAACGCTTGCAAGGAGCTGGTCCAAGATTCCTAGTCCTGAGATCATTCCAGGCGGTGGGACGGGAACATTCAGTTAAGGTTAGATTGAGGCTTGGGGCTTGCCCTCAACGGTATAAGAGACAGTCATCGGTATCCATCCTAAAACGAAAGAAGAGAATGAGAAAGTTGAGGGCTGGAATGCCAAAAGAAATTCTATAGACAAAATAACTTATCTCGGTGTACATCCCGTCCGAATGACAGATTCAACCATAGAGAAACTCCTAATTTATAATCTCATACAACCAAGATAAACCCTACTGGTAATGATGCCTGGCTAAACATCACATCAGAACAAGATACTCTAAGATAGTTTTGATTACAGAAGCTGACAAACGTTGAAATGAAAATATTAAGCAGCAACTACTGCCTCGGGGGTGCTTGTGACAGGAGGAGCAGCAGTGACAGGAGTATTACTGGTTTTTGCATCTTGATCTTTTGCAGGGGCAGGTGCTGGCGGTGGAGAATGCTTCAGGTGGGGAGGTGTATTGTGTTTCAGTTTCAAGAGTATCTGTCTCATCCTTGAAAGGTCAGCTGGTTTCCCAGGCTTCGGACCTTGGACCACGACAATGGAAGGCTTCTTCTCCTTATCTTTTTTCCCTCTCTTCTCTATTGCTGGCACTTCATTAGGAATGAGCTCTGCAATTGCTTTCCAGTAATGCTTATCAGCCTCAGTGTGGAACTTCTCTTGGTTGGCTACAAATATCTGACATACAGAATACAAGGAGATGAGTAATTTATACATGGCATTGACACATTGTTCTGCATCTAAGAAGTCACAGAACAAAAGTTAAGCAAATTACAAGAATGTTATCCTCTAATACAACAAACTGAGTCCTCATTATTTCACCAAAAAACAGTCTGTTTAGCTACCACATATTACCAGTTTAACAAGCTGAGTGGCAAGTTACATTGCTAATCAACTTCCAGAATCAGGGATGTGATGTAATGGGCCAACCACATAGTAGTTCCAATTACTTTCAACACATCTACAACCAACATTCCCCACTTAATTGATATGCCAGTTAAATAAAGTGGCTCAAACAACTCCTTGCCCCTAGGTGAACAAATTTTTTAATATCTGCGATGATGCTTAGCTCACAAATGGTAAAACTAGAAATTCAACATTGTCTATGTGCATGTTGAGATAGAATCATAATATGTTTCCTTGTTCTGAATATCACCAACTACATTGTTTAATTCTACATACTACTGTCACCTTTTTCCTTTCATCCATTGGTGTCTTAAATTATTTGACAAATTAATGAAAAACTTCATAAGGAATTTTTATAAGATGAAATTTTAATCTAGGAAAATAGAGTACACACTCTTGTGCAACAAAAAATCATGTTCTGGGAAACGCTCATTCACAAAACTATATGCATACTTGAAGGCTTGAGTAGCAATCATGGTTCTGAGAGCACTTGAGTTTAGTTATACGTTAATTTGGGGAATAGGTTTCACAATCACTTTCACAGAAGTTATTTTCATAAGATAAGTGGTTTAATCCAACGTACTCCAAAACATTGACCACCTAACTCCTAACAAATTGCCAGACGTTTACGTTTTGATCGTGTATTGCTATTTTCTCATCAATTGCAAGACAAACTTCTAATAGGACAATTGAGTTTCATACCACTCAAGAATATGTTTCCATCCCAATGCATATTACCAGCTCAAAGTTCAAGTATAGATGAAGAAAACTATGACATCAATATCTGCATTAGTATACAGCTTAAAGTCAACAGTACCTTCTCCCTTTCTCTGTTATTCGCTTTGTTGCTTTCACAGGTGACCTCTCTCTTTCTATAAAACTCAACTTTGTATTGCTCAGCTTCCTCGATTATTTGGCTCAACAACTCCTTTTCCCTCTTCTCCTTCTCCTCCAATCGAATCGCATTCTCCCTACGTAATTACAACAGCAATAATACCTAATATGAGTACCACTAAAACCGATAAAACATGCAACATCTTACACATTTTCATTAACAAAACAAAAACATTACTCATAAAACTGAATCCAAATTATGAAGAAACATTACATAAAAATAAGGGAATTTTGATAAATAGAGAAATTATCATTTCCAAATGTTCTCTTAATTCAATCTCTAAAAGTGAAGAGATTCAAAGAGAAATGAAAACCTAGGACATTTCCTTCTAGTTCCCCAAATTTCCCCCCAAATTTCGAAACTTTTCTCCACTTAAAACCCTACTATAACTTAAATTTATCAAAAGAACTCCAAAATTAGAACTTTTTTCACTAAATCCTTTTCTTTTCATATTCCTAAAACACCTAACTGCCAAATTCATAACTCCAGGTTCTAATTTTTAATTTTCCCCAATTTTACAGTAACCAAAAATAAAGCCAAAAAATCATCGAAATTATTCAAAAAAAAATCAAAATTTCGATAGATTTTAACCTTCTCCATTCCCTGAGAGCAAACCCTTCCTCGTGCTCCATCTCCGACGGCGGCGGTAAAATCGGCCCGTCCGATCCGCTGAAATGTTGGCCAAATCCTCCACCATTCGTGTACGACTGCGATTCAAACACGTCGTCAGTCGAGTCCTTGGCCGGGTCCGACTCGGCCACGAAAGAGTTGAATTGCTGAGACGGGTCGTATCCTTCGTAGCCGCTTCCATCATGTTCCTGGTGAGGAACAGACTGGACCGAGTCGTCTCCGAGTTGAGTGAACGAATCGGGGAACGTTGACATTTTTACTTTGTTGGGGCAAGGTCTTGTACGGATACGTCGAAGGCTTAATGGAAAATCTATGGAAGTCTAAATGGAAGGCGATAACTCATATGATCTTCTTTTGGGTTGAGTAAATGGGCCTATTTTGGGCCTTTTGGACAATTATTTGGGCTCTATTGGGCCTTTTTTGGGTTTGATTGGATGATTTGGAGATCCATGCTACTTCGACTCTGACCAGAGAGGAAGAACAAGCTGCAGTACTGTAATAGGGAGCTATCACCTTTGGCTTCAATGGCGTAATCGAGTTGGAAGAAGCTTATCTCTGATAGAAACAAGCTCAGAAGTGACATTAGTCATGTTTAATTACTTGCTAGGTGATTTAGTAGAACAACTGACTCCAATACTGAATATAGAAATTAAGCACTGAAGGAATCTCTCATCTCCCTCGTTGTTCTTATTGCTGGTATTACTTGTAGCTGTTTCTCCTCCTCTAGCTATATCTTGAAGAAGAATGGGATCTGTTACCTCAGCCAATCTTTCTGGCAATGCTAGCTTAACATAGTTTTGGAGGTTCAGATCCTCTTTACACATTTCATCAGTTGGCCTCTTCCCTGTAAACATCTCCAAAGAAAGGATGCCATGGCTGTACACATCACCGTAGGTAGACACCTTTTTTCCCAAGCCATATTTAGCAATTTTTTATTTATTAGAAATTTTCAAATCATGGTGAATTAGCTAAGATTAATGGATTCAGGAAAGCTACTGACATTGATAGGAATGAACCAGAAGTGAGTATTTACCTGGTGCAACATAACCAATAGTTCCTTTTAGTGAGCTTGATAGGCTTGTAGAGTAACTTTGCATGTCTGCAGACATGATATTTGTTAATCCAAAGTCACCTACATGGCCAACCATTTCATCATCGAGTAGACTATTGCTTAGTTTTAGGTCACAATGAACAACTGATGTTTCACAATGGTGATGAAGATACTCCAATGCGCAAGCAACATCAACAGCTATATTCACTCTCCGAGTAAACTTCAATTCCTTAGGTGCCTTGTCTGCCTCGTTCAAGCGGGTGGATGGGTGCAGCCAATCTTCTAGTTATCACTGACAGCCAAGATTTGAAGAGATGGCATGGTGAATCTTAGGTCCCAAGTAAGGCTGCCTTGAACTTGGTTTGAGCCAGTATCAAGAGCTGTGAGATTCAAGAGGTTGAATATTCAGGAAGGAACAGTACCAGAAAGTTTATTTTCTTCCACAGTTAAAATGTAAGGCTCGTGAATTCGCCAAGAGTTTCAGTAATGGCTCCCCTTAATCTATTTTCACTGATAGAAATTTCCTCCAAAGATGTTAAGTTCCCTAAGGAAAGTGGGTACTCCCCCTTAAATGGTTTTTATATAAAGATACTTTTTTTAGGTTTGACAAGCTGCCAAAAGCAACAGGGATTTCTCCAACTAATTGGTTGCTTGAAAGATCAACAACTCTAACTTTAGAGTATTGGAATGAATTTCACCAACTAAGGAGTTTGTGGAAAGTTTCAACTCTACCAATCTATGCAAACGGCCAACTTCCTGTGGGATTTCATGGCTGAAGCTATTGTTTTGATGATTTAACACTCTTAGAAAGCTTAAGATGCCAATGTATGGTGATATAGACCCCCTGAGTTCCCTTGATTGCAAGTCTAACTTGATTACTCTATGATGCCGGTGACTGCATGTAATTCCAGGCCAACGACAGATATGGACTGAATTGTTCCACAGCAGCATATTCCCAAGCTGATCACCATTGATCTTGGCTTTGAACTCCAGCAAAGTTTGTTGATCAGTATCATTTCCACCAGCAGCAGAGATTGCTAAACCAAATGAATTAGCAGCACATTGGAGCTGGTTGAAACAAGAGAGGAGACTAACAACAATGCAAACTGAAAAAATAAATCCAAATCAAATGGAAATTCATGCTTGATAATCCCATCAAGCAGAATAAACTTCCAAATTGAGTTTAGCTTCGGTTGGCGGCTTGGTTTGGTTCATCAACAAGAACTAATTATACATATAACGGCCCTGGCCTTGTTAAACCTTATCTTCTAAGCATGATTTGTTCAATAAAATGATTAGCATTTTGACAAGATTAAAATAACATTAACCAAATAAAAAAGACTAAGACTTGTTGACTAGCTAGAATTGTAAACTATAATCAGCACTATGAGCTTGTAATCAGTGAAATGAAAGCTGAAAAAATGAGTTAGGAAGCCACTTAATGATGGCTAATTCAATCAGTCTTACCCCTTTCATAGTTGGAATTAAAAGTTTCCCAAAGGATTGGTTTCTTTCTACATACAATTAATAAACCAACGAAGGAATGTCAAGGCATAATCAAATAGGTTTTTGGGTGATCTCAGGATTATCTAAACATGGCACCAGCTTGGTTCCTGAAATGGGAATATTAGAGATACATGAAAGAATGTCAATGACATAATTTACATATTTACCACTTATATATCGCAGTCGAACTCGATTAAATTTTATTTTTGTTACTTAAATTTAACTCAAAAAATAATTAATACATTCTAAATTGAGTTCTTACCTTTATATAGTCAGAGGTAAAGTTTTGAATATATCTATAAGATAGTACTTTGATATTTTTTTTGGTGGCTTTTCTTTATTTACTTTTATGTATGTGTGTATTAATTATTATCCTATTATATGTTATGATATTATAACTTTTTCGTTAAAATTGAAATTAATCTTGATAAATTCACAAGCCAATTGATCTCAAAATGAAGTATTAATTAAAATACATCAAAATTAAAGTTTTTGTTTTAATCTTCATGAAAGTTAAAAGAAAGATAAATAGTTAGAGACAAAAAGAGTATTATCTTCTGATTATTCTTATCATGAAAAAAAAAAAAATTACTTCATGGATAGGCTAAATAACAGGTAATTTTTTGGGTCTCATTGGGTTGTAATTGGGCTGGTTCATAGACTACTAACAAGCCCTTTGCAGGCCCAAAAAAAAAGTTTAATTCATTAATTTTTGCAGAGATGAAAATAGCTTAAAACTCATAAGTCAATTTAAAGCAAGCCAATTGCTTGCTATGAATGTAAGAGATTAAAGGTTCAATTCACCATTGTTTTTATTATATGAGACTCTCTACCAACCATTAGAATATTGATATTGACACAAGTTGACTGAGTCAAGGTGTTTTCGATTTTCCAAGTTAATTGAATCTTTATCTACACCAACCATTTACCACTTGAAATCCATGGTTAAATTAGAATAATGTAACCTATAAGCAAAGTGATTGATCTGGTTTTTATGAAGCAATTATGTTGCAGCTGTTCTTCTTTCTTTCTTGCACTTCTTCTGTTTTTGAAAATTTCACCACAGTCCGTCAATAATTTCTCTAAAACAACAATTAATTTGATCAAATACTTTGTTGAAATTTCATTGGTAATAATACCCTATTTACAACAAATTTTTCCGATTATTGGAAAAATTCAGATATTTTGTAGTGTTTGATTCAACTCTTAGATTATATTTACTTGATTTTCTTAACTTTATATTAAGTTTTTGGTGTGTGAGTTGTTAAAGAGAATTAAACAGCCTCACAATTAGATTTATATATTGGTAATCAAGACTTTGTACCACTGAATTCTTAGAATCAAACACCTTTTCTTTGGTATAAGAAGATATTGAACTAGTTGAGAGGGCAGAGTCATAAACCTTGTCAACATCCGTTGCTGTTGACACTCAACATGCATTTCCATTGTCTTACTATCACTGCCAATGAAGTAATTATTTGACCCAAAGCAAATATCCATGCTAATCTCTGAAGATATTCCATCATTAGATATGCAATGGGGATTCTCCTTTTTCTTTGCCTTCTTAGCAGTGAAGTAGGCAGGAATCTGAAACTTTATTAGGAACTTCTAAGGAGAGATCATCGTGTGGATCTTTAGTGAGATTTGCCTTGTACACCAAAAGGTGAGATAATGTTCAACTAATTAAATGCTAAGGCATCCCTTTTGAATGCAAGTTTAATTTGGTACGTGAATGTGACTGCAGTTTCACTGCATAAAGTCATGCATTTGGTTATTCTTGGTACTAAAGATATCTATTTGATTTCTTGGCATCTGGATATTTTTTTCTTCTAATCTTCAATTATTCTTTGCATTCAAATTTGGTTGTTTGGTAGGTGTGTGGTTGTGGCTGTGGTTGCAAGTCATGAAACTTGACAACAATAGGCATGAAAACTGAAGTTGATCATCAATAGTCATATCTTCATGAGTGGCAATCGTCGAAATGGTTGAGCTTTTCATTGTGGCCATATCTTTCTTTTTGGGCTATACCTGACTTTAAGAATTTGATTGGGACTGCCTACCTTCTTCAACAATAGAAGACATGGAAGAGTTTCAAAAGTTCTACAGTTTATAGTTTGAATCTTTTTTTTCTGCCAGGAACTGCCTACCTTCTTTGACAATAGAAGACATGGAAGAGTTTCAAAAGTTCTACACTTTATATTTTGAATCTTTTTTTCTGCTCAGCCAATAAAGTGGTTTTCATGAATAATCTGCTCAAGGCAGTGAGGGATACAAACACAGTGCTAAACACATACTTATGCCAGCTTACAAGTATGCAGCAATACAGGTCAACAGGAAGTACATTTGCTGGTAAAAGCAGAGGATACAGGCTAATCATAAAAACATGGTAAGAAAATGAAGAACTAAAATCAAAATGAAACTACTTTAGGGAGCTTTTTTTGTGAATATAGCTGTAAAAGGAGTTGATGGCTGCATGGGGAATAGCCACTGACTCAGTAAACATGCAGAAACTTGGACCAATGTGTGATTAGTTGTGCGGGCTTGTTACGCACCTTTGGTCATTAACCTAGAGTTGTTAACTCATTATGCATATAAAAAGGCCTGTAAATTAATGAAATGAACCTTTTATGTCCCAGAACTTTGAAAAGTCTCCCCTTGCTCTCTTTATTTTCTTTGGTTTACACAATTTTTCCCGCAATTCTTCCATGTTCTTTCTATTAACTTTCGGCTAAACAATTCATGGTTGCTACTGTGTTAAGCTTCTTTCTAAGACAAAAATCCAACAGAACCAACCGGTGGCGTATATAGGCAAAAGTAAACCTCATTCGTCAGTTCATCTGCTTGATGGGGTTAGCAGGCTTGCGCTTGGAAGTGCCTTGGGCACTTATTTCTGCTGTTTCACTGCTCTTGTGCTGTAATTCACAAGGTCCTTACTCAATTGGTTCAGCAAAGTTAGTAGTCAATGGAAATGACACGGACAGACAGGCTTTGCTCGAGTTCAAGGCCAAGATAGCTGGTGATCAGCTTGGCGTTATGCGGTTGTGGAACAACAGTGTTCATTTTTGCCAGTGGCATGGTGTTACATGCAGCAGCCGACATCAAAGAGTGACCAAATTGGAACTGCGATCACTGAAATTAACGGGAACCATAACACCATATATCGGAAATTTTAGCTTTCTAAAGGTGTTGAATCTTCTAAACAATGGCTTCAGCCATGGAGTTCCTCAAGAAATCAGTCGCCTGCGTAGGTTAGAAGAGTTAATACTTGATAAAAACCCCTTAGGCGGTCAAATTCCTTCCAATATATCTGGATGTTCTAAGCTCAAACGCCTTTACATAGGACACTGCCAGCTTGTTGGAGACATACCTGGTGTTCTTGGCCTATTGTACAACCTAAAATCTTTAGGTTTAAGCAACAACAGTCTAACAGGGAGTATCCCACCTTCCTTGGGCAATATATCGACTCTGGACGTAGTTTATCTATCACTTAATGAACTGCGTGGGACTATCCCTGAAGCTCTTGGCCAATTGAAAAATCTAACTCTTTTTTCTGTGGGAGCAAATGGACTTTCAGGTATAGTTCCTTCATCAATTTTCAATCTCTCTAACATTAGAACACTTGATATCGGTTCAAATCAATTTCAAGGTAGTCTTCCTGCAGACTTGGGAATCACCATACCGTATGTTGAAACCCTTTATGTCAGTAGAAACCAATTCAGTGGACCATTCCCTCTTTCAATATCCAATGCTTCAAATCTCATAGACCTAGAGTTTTCCTTCAACAAACTTGTTGGGAAGTTGCCTTCCTTTGAAAAGCTGGATAAGTTGGAATGGTTTACCCTTACCTACAACCTCCTTGGAAGTGGGGAAGCAAATGACTTGGACTTTGTCTGCTCTTTAATGAATGCCACCAGCCTAGTGGCGTTGGAGATAAACTACAACAACTTCGGAGGTGTAATACCTACTTGCATAAGCAATCTGTCCACTAACCTCACATTTTTCCTTTTAGACAACAATGAAATATCAGGAACCTTTCCAGTTGGGATTGGAAATCTCATCAACTTAGAGATGCTATTGGCAGGAAGTAATCAGTTGTCAGGTTCCATTCCTTCTGCTATTCAGAGGCTTCAGAAGGTACAGACGCTCGATCTATCTAATAATTCTTTCTCTGGAAGTATTCCCTTTTCTCTTGGAAATTTAACCATGTTGCTTCAGCTGGATTTAAGTCAAAATAATCTTGCGGGTACAATTCCTTCCAGTCTCAGTAAATGTGAAAATCTTCTTTTCATGGATCTTTCAAACAATAACCTTACTGGCTCTATACCCCCTGGAGTACTTGGACTCTCATCGTTGTCCTTGAACCTTGACTTATCCTCAAACTACTTAACTGGTGATCTTCCTAATGAAGTAGGAAACTTGAAAAATCTAGGTCAATTGTCTGTTTCTCAAAACAGGTTATCAGGTGTGCTTCCAAGCAGTCTAGGTTATTGTATAAGGCTAGAGAAGCTAATAGTGAGTGACAATTTCTTCCATGGAACCATTCCTTCATCCTTCAGTTCATTGAGAGGTCTTGCAGTTTTAGACATTTCCCACAACAATCTCTCTGGTGAAATTCCTGAATTCTTTGCGAACTTTACATTGCAATATTTGAATCTTTCTTACAATGATTTCGAAGGCATGGTACCTACTGGTGGAGTTTTTAATAATGCAAGTGCTACATCCATCGAGGGAAACAATAAACTTTGTGGTGGTACACCCGAGTTCCATTTGCATGGATGTAACTCGAAAAGGTCTAGGAGGAAATCGAGCAATCGACTCAAACTAATACTTGCTATTGTTTTTGGGCTTTTAGGAGTAACTTTGGTACTCCTCTTTCTCCTTGTTTTTTGGTTTAGAAAGAGAAGAAAGCAACCTGCATCAACTTCTCCTGAAAATTCACTTTTAAGGTTATCCTACCAAAGCATCCTAAAGGCTACTGATGGATTCTCTTCAGCCAATCTGGTAGGTGTAGGAGCCTACGGTTCTGTGTATAAAGGAATTCTCCAAGAGAATGAAATAGTTGTTGCCATCAAAGTACTTAACCTTTTGAATCATAAAGCTTCTAGGAGTTTCATGGCTGAATGTGAGGCCTTGAGGAAAATTAGGCATCGAAATCTTGTCAAAATATTAACAGCATGTTCAGGTGTTGACTACCATGGCAATGATTTTAAGGCGCTTGTCTATGAGTTCATGTCTAATGGAAGCCTAGAGGATTGGTTGCATTCGTCTATCGAAATTCAGGCAGAGTCAAAGAAAAGCATAAATTTATACCAGAGACTGAATGTGGCTATTGATGTTGCTTGTGCACTGGATTATCTTCACCATCATTGTGATCAAACATCGATTGTTCATTGTGACCTCAAACCAAGCAATATTCTACTTGATGATGAAATGACTGGCCATGTAGGTGACTTTGGCTTAGTAAAATTCATTTCAGAAGATGTGCAAAATTACTCTGCAAGCCAATCAAGCACCCTTGGATTAAGAGGAACTATTGGTTATGCTCCACCAGGTACACTTCTTAATCATTCTTTAGATGTTTTCTTAGCAATATGAGCTCAAAAGCTACAAGAATAACTTGGATGTGAGGAATTTATTATTTGTAAATTTTCGTAAGGGGGGTCTACTAGGCAATTGCAGCCACTATTTCTGATGAAATGATTTGCAGAGTATGGCTTGGGAAGTGAAGTGTCAACATATGGTGATGTTTACAGCTATGGAATCCTTTTGCTGGAGATTTTTACTGGAAAGAGGCCCACTGATGAAATGTTTAAAGATGGCTTGAACCTTCACAACCTTGTCAGGACAGCTTTGCCAGAACGAGCAGTTGAGATGACCGATCCCATTCTTCTTCAGGAAAGAGTCACAGGAGAAACAGTAGCAAACACTAGTGATTGCAATGAAAGCAGCCAGAGCAATACGATACTCCTTCAGTGTTTGAATTCAATATATGAAGTTGCACTCACTTGTTCGGCTGAATTGCCAACCATGCGAATGAACATGAGCGAAGTTGTTGCTGAACTTTGCTTGATCAGAAACAAGCTATTTCCAACTAAGCTAAGACCAGAGAGACATATACATTCGAATCACAAGGTAGTGATGTCTTACATCCAAGCAACAAGAATGCATAATTTGCTTAAAAATTCATGTAAAAGTATGACCTCTTTGTAAGAGATTTACTTATTTCCTTCTGTTGCAGGTGTTCTAAACATCGATGGCTTCAAGCCATCCAGATCATAAGCTGCTGTTTTTCTAGTAGAATCCCCAACTTCTCCTGCACGAACTCCACCCTAGAAAGAATTATTAGTTCCAATCAGTATGTTATCTGTTCTTCTTCTTCTTCTTGTGCATCATCAACTGATTGATTTAGTCCAATGTATCTCATCGTTTGTATAACCTATTACTAATTGTAGTCTTATTTTCTTATAGTACCACTGATTTTCTTCTTCTTCCCTTAGTTATGCATATGACAATGGGAGGCAAAATGGCTTTGTATTTCTAAAACCTCCTTAACAAAGTCATAAAACTTGACAAACAGGAACTTGTGATTGATATTGATGTTGATAATAATGTTAAGCATTCTCTAGAGGAAAGTATTCTCTCCATTACTTAAAACAGTTGTGAAGAAAACTACCATTGCATCCTCTGTTTCCTACTTAATTTGCCACCAATTTGATTTCTAAACTTAAGATATCAGTCTATTACTAATAAATAGGAATTTTATTTAATGTATGAATCTATGTGAGATTATAATCTTTTGGCTGCAACCCAGCTATTCCAAACCAACACCTGTGGTCCAAGGGAACAACACCCTCATAAATCGTTTGCCTGTCAATGGTTTTCTTGTGGCTCTATTTTCTTCTTAGCAAATCTTTGTTCATGTCAAAGTTGGAACTCTTTAAGGATAACAATCAATTTGTCAACATATATCTTAGTTTCTTATTGGATTTATCAAATTATGATATGAATTTAAGCTCTGGCAGCCATTTCTCTTTTGTCTGTGAGCAAAGGAATTCTTATCTGTCCAAAAGAAAAGCAAAGAAGAAGATACATGCAAAAAGAAGGAATCTGCTATAATTTACAAGCAGAAGTTAGAACAGAGCAAGCTAGTTTTAACGATTTAAGCACATAAAGCCACTGCCACGGACCATAAACTTTTATTTCAACGGTAATGAAACAAGATAAATTTTTCCATCTGCTAGTTTGCAGATGATCTCTAACTCTTCAAATCAAGTTGAAGTAATAAACTTTGTTATGCATTGGCAGCTTCATATTCTTTTACTGTTGGCTGGTGGTCCAGACTCCAGACAACAACTATCTTTGGTGGAAATTCTAATTCTGCGACTTGTTTGAAGGGGCAAGAAAGACTGATTCAGCAGCCAAGTAGTTTCCTTAGATCACAGCTTTTACAACTAAAAAGACTTCACCCTTTTTTATTTTTTTTGAAAATTAAAAACACTTCACCTGTAAGAATTCGTTTGCATTGTAAGAATGTTGAATTTAGTATCAAGTTTTAGTCCTGTGTCTACATTTCATGGCTAAAATTCCAACTCTACTGTTTAATGTTTGATGAATAAAATAAAATTTCTCGTGCTTAACATTCTGTGAGTGAGGATGAGGTTATGTCTGAATTGATCTGGTTAAATGCGGCTACGTTTAATTCCAAACAAAATGAATTTTAAGAAGGCTCCGTCTTATGCACTGCTGGAGTATGGCTTTCCTTCAAAACTCTCTTTTTCTATTCCCACAAGGAAATTACGAGGCAACTTACCTTTGTAATCAAGTAGTGTGAATGATAGTCCTAAAACTTCAGCTCTGACTTGAAATTGCCTGGAAGTACTGCAAAGGGGCAATGACCAACAGCTACGTCAAGTATTTAGCGTGTCCAAAACTTCACTGACGAGTGTAAAACCAGATAAAACCAGAGTCCCAAAAGTCCTACATTTGCACTTAGTTCTTGTTGATGAACTAGGCACTCTCAACTCAAGTACAAACTAATCTCAATTCAGAAACTTATATCTTCACTGATAATGAAGCTATCAGGCAAGCATTTGAAACTGTCCACCTTTCTTTTCCTTGTTTACCCTGCCGTTACTCTCCTTACTTTCTTTAACCTGCAAGGTCCTAAGTTTCTTGGTTTGGCAACTCCTGTGGTTATTGGAAATGAGACGGATCGACGAGCTTTACTTGAGTTCAAGGCGATGATAATTGATGATCACTTCGGGGTTTTGCAATCCTGGAACGACACTATCCACTTCTGCCAGTGGTATGGTGTTACATGCGGTCACAGACATCAGAGAGTCACCATGTTGGACTTGGGATCCCTAAAGCTCGTGGGGTCTATATCACCATTTATTGGAAATTTGAGCTTTCTCAGGTTGTTAGACCTTGAAAACAATATTTTCAATCAAGCAATCCCTCAAGAAATTGGCCGTTTACGAAAATTGCGAGAGTTAACATTGGAAAACAACACCCTAAGTGGTGTAATTACTTCCAATTTGTCTGGTTGTTTTCGGCTGGAATCAGTTTCTCTTGCAGGCAACTTGCTAACCGGAGAAATACCAGGTGTGCTTGATTTCTTGTCAAACCTAAAAAAAATTAGATTCAGTCGTAATAATTTAAGGGGGGGTATACCGCCTTCCTTGGGTAACATATCCTCTCTGGAGTCTATTGCTTCAAGTGATAATAGATTGAGTGGGGTTATACCAGAAACTCTTGGCAAATTGAAAAATCTTGTATCTCTTTCTGTGAATATGAATGAAATTTATGGTGTCATCCCTGCCTCAATTTTCAATCTCTCCAATATTAGAAAACTTGGTATGGTCAAAAACCAGATACAAGGTAGTCTGCCATCGGACTTAGGAATCACTATGCCAGAGATTGAAATCCTTGCTTTCGGGTTTAATCAATTGATTGGACCATTCCCTCTTTCAATATCCAATGCCTCAAATCTTGTTCTCCTTGATGTTGGCCGAAACAAACTTAGTGGACCCTTGCCTTCATTTGAAAAGCTGGATAAACTATCACGATTTTTAATTGAGGGCAACCTTCTTGGGAGTACGATGGCAACTGACCTGAACTTTCTTTGCACTTTAAACAATGCTTCCAGACTAGAGTGGATAGATATAGCCCAAAACAACTTTGGAGGAGAATTACCGGATTGCCTAGGCAATTTCAGCTATCTCTTAGCTTTAACTATCCAAGGTAATAGAATATTGGGAAGAATTCCAGCTAGGATTGAAAATCTCATCAACTTGGAGATACTAGCGGCATCAACCAATCAATTATCAGGTTCAATTCCCCTTGGAATTGGGAGGCTTCAAAAGTTAAAGATATTTTTTGCAGTTCAGAATTCTCTCTCAGGGGTCATTCCCCCCTCTTTAGGAAATTTGACAATGCTAATTAAACTTGCTTTAGGTTATAACAATCTTCATGGCAACATTCCTTCAAGTCTAGGAAAGTGCGAGAATTTAGTTCAATTGTATCTTTCTAATAACAACCTTAGTGGATCTATACCCCCTGAAGTAATTGGGCTCTCATCCTTGTCCATGTCCCTAGACTTATCTTCAAACTATTTAACTGGTGTGCTTCCCGCCGACGTAGAAAATATGAAAAATCTAGGTAGATTATATTTGTCTCAAAACAGGTTATCAGGTGTGCTTCCAAACAATCTTGGTAGTTGTGTAAACCTGGAGGAACTATTCTTGAATGGCAATTTGTTTGAAGGTCCCATTCCTTCATCTTTGAATTCATTGAGAGGTCTTGTAGCATTAGATATATCTGGCAATAATCTTTCGGGTGAGATTCCAGAATTTCTTGTGAGCTTTGAGTTTTTACAGTATTTAAATCTTTCTTTCAATGATTTTGAGGGTATGGTACCAATTGAAGGAGTATTTAAAAATGCAAGTGCTACAATCGTTGATGGAAATCGTAATCTTTGTGGAGGTACCCCTGAGTTGCACTTGCCTAGATGTAACTTGAAAGAATCCCATAGAAGATCGAAGAATTCTCTGAAATTAAAAATTGCGATTGTTTTGGCAGTTTTAGGAGTGACTTTGGTATTCTCATTTGTTCTCATTTTGTGGTTTAGAAAGAAAAAGATGAAGCCAACAGCTGCAGCTTTTGCAGAAAATTCACTTTTAAACATATCATACCAAAGCCTCCTAAAGGCTACTGATGGATTGTCCTCGATGAATTTGGTTGGTTCTGGTAGCTTTGGTTCTGTATATAAAGGAATTCTTGAAGAGAGTGGAGTAGTTGTCGTTGTTAAGGTGCTTAATCTTCTATGTCGTGGAGCTTTCAAAAGTTTCATGGCTGAATGTGAGGCATTGAAGAACATCAGACATCAGAATCTTGTCAAGGTCTTAACAGCAATTTCGGGTACAGATTATCAAGGGAATGATTTTAAAGCCTTGATCTATGAGTTCATGCAAAATGGGAGCTTGGAGGATTGGTTGCATCCATCTGTTAGCGTGAATGAGGCAAATGAGGCACCAAAAAGCTTAAATTTTTTTCAGAGATTGAATGTGGCCATTGATATTGGTTGTGCATTGGAGTTCTTCATCATCATTGTGAAACACCAATTGTTCATTGTGACCTCAAACCAAGCAATATTCTACTTGATGATGAAATGGTTAGCCATGTGGGTGACTTTGGGCTAGCGAAATTCATTACATCAGGTATGCAGAATAACACTTCAAGCCTATCAAGCTCCCTGGGTTTAAGAGGAACAATCGGTTATGCTCCACCAGGTAAGTAGACTACTCTCTATAGTTTTATACCATATCTATAATCAAAGATTAAATTTCAAATGAATCCATATATAGTTTTCTTTCAATATGATAAAAGTAGAATACATTCTTTCAAAATCAATATGCTTTTTTAATTTAACTAACATGTTCAGAGCTCTGATGTGAGAAAGCCATTTGCATCTATTTCAAAATTTTTTCTCTTATTTTGACAAATGCATTGCAGAGTATGGATTGGGAAGTGTTGTGACAACATATGGTGATGTGTATAGCTATGGCATTCTTTTGCTGGAGATGTTTACTGGGAAAAAGCCCACTGATGAAATGTTTAAAGAGAATTTGAGCCTTCATAACTTTGTTAAAACAGCTTTGCCAAATCAAGTGGCTGAGATTTCAGATCCCATTCTTCTTCAAGAAAGTTTTCAAGGAGAAAGAATGACCAACAAACAGAGCAACCAAAGAGATAACAGGCTCCTTCAGTGCTTAAATTCAATATTTGAAATCGGAGTTACCTGTTCTGCTGATTTGCCTACTGAACGATTGCATATGACTGATGTTGTAGCGAAGCTTTGTTCTATAAGAGACAAGTTGCTTCCAACTCGACCATTAAAAGCAACAGGTATACGAATACTGTTATAAATCCAAATAACAATAAAATATAATTCATTATAATTTTTTTAAAAATATTTACATCCTTTGAAAAATACCAGACTCATGATATTTTCTTATCTAAGTGCGACTTTAAGTTGAATCCCAACAATAATTAAGGTTAAATATTTTCTTAAGCTGCAGGTGCTCCCAGCCCACACTGTCCTCCAAACTGAGAAAAAGAGAAGATAATTATTACCTCAGCATAAGAAGTAACCATTTTCCTTGTTTTCTGAAGGATAAACTCTGGAAAATTGTAGGATTTAGTTGCAAGTTCTAGTGTTTGTGCCTATCATTTCTTGAATAAAGTACTTTTTCCTTGTGTTTAGCTTTCTGCAATGGAAGATTATATATGCAATGTTCTGAGAGAAACCATTCCTTTGTATTCTGAGAAACCAACTCTGCCAGAACGTTGAATTTCAAGTTCTCATATTGTGTCTACCATTTCAAGAATAAAATTCCACCTCTATCGTTTAATGTTTCTTGAATGAATTACTTTGTTCTTGTGTTGAAAATTCAGGGATTGGGGAGTCTTGGCAGTATCAGCTACGCTAATTCCAGTCTCGTCCTGTGTTTCTTGTGTTCCTACTCGTTCAATTGGAATGACCCATGGAAATTAAAAACTTTTGTTTAATATCCTTTCTTCCACAAACAAAGCAATTAAAACTCTTGACCCTGCTACCAATATCCTCCATGACAGCCACATTTATTTCAAGGCCTCCCATGGCAGTTCTACAATTTCGGTCAATCCCAAGAAGCAGGAACGAGTAGTCCTCCCCAATCCTGCACCTGAAAATGCTTTATCAGTTTTCTTGTCTTGTGGCCATTTTTTTCAGTGGTCAAATGGCTTGTAAAGTCAAGTATTTAATGCTACCAAACCTTGACAAAGGAAGATACAGCTAGATAAATAAAAACAAAATTCCAAAGCTTGGTTTAGAATATTATTCTGGCAATGGTATTAAGCTGCTATTCATTGGTCGAGAGTCGCTTTCCTTCGAAAGTTTCTTTTGTCAATTTCCACAAGGAAATTACAAGGCAGCTTACCCTTGTTTTCACGTTTTGTAATTTAATAGACAGTGGGAGTCCATAATTGTCACCCTGCTGACAATATTCTCCATAAAATCCAAGTTTTCCTCTCAACGTTTACTTGAAGTCTCCTCCTATCATTTTTCTTACAAGAATTTAAACATAGGTAAGTTATCTGATAAAGATGTTCCATCCCCAACTTCTCTGTAGGTCGGTGCAGAGAATTCGTTTCAAAGTCTAAATATAGTTTTTATTGCTTATTCATTCATTTCAATATAGTTAGCAAGCAAGGTTTTACGTCTGTATATAAATCCTTCATCAAGTCATAAGCAATCTTAAAAAAAAAAAAAGGTCATAGGTAAAAGAAAAAATCCTTCCATTAAGTAGGCTAGGGACCGTGCAGGCAAGTCCTACGACTTCAACTCTGACTGGAAATTAAATTGCCTTGAAATTAAGAGCCCTGAATCCGAGCTGCAACTGACAAAGCTAAATTTTTATCTTGTGGTCATATTTTCCTTGGCCACGCCACATGACTAAGTCAAGTCTTTTGCGCGTCCAAAACTTCATTGATGAGAGGAGATAAAACCAGTAACAAATCAGAGGCCCGAATATCCTACATTGCACTTAGTTCTTGTTGATGAACTAAGCACTCTCAAACTCAAGTACAAACTAATCTCAGTTCAGAAACTTATCTAGCTTGATGATGAACCAAGCACTCTCTCTTTTCCTTGTTTACCTTACCCTTATTCTCCTTGTTTCGTTTAACCTGCTAGGTCCTAACTTGCTTGGTTCAGCAGCCCCTGTGGTTACAGGAAATGAGACGGATCAACGAGCTTTACTCGAGTTCAAGGCAGAGATAATTGAGGATCCTTTCGAGGTTATGCACTCCTGGAATAATACAATCCACTTCTGCCAGTGGTATGGTGTTACATGCGGTCGTAGACATCAGAGAGTCACCTTGTTGAACTTGCGATCCCTAAAACTCGTGGGGTCTATATCACCATTTATTGGAAATTTGAGCTTTCTTAGGCTGTTAAACCTTGAAAGCAACAGTTTCAATCAAGCAATCCCTCAAGAAATTGGCCGTTTGCGAAGATTGCACACATTACTACTGGGAAACAATAGCCTAAGTGGTGTAATTCCTTCCAATTTGTCTAGTTGTTCTCGGCTTGAGTCAATTGTGTTTGGAGGCAACCTGCTAACTGGAGAAATACCAGGTGCGATTGGTCTCTTGTCAAACCTGATAGGATTTAGTTTTAGCGGAAATAATTTAAGAGGAGGTATCCCACCTTCTTTGGGTAACATATCCTCTCTAGTGTATATTTCCGTGGTTAAAAATAGATTGAGTGGGGTTATACCTGAAGCTCTTGGTAAACTGACAAATCTTGAAGTCTTGGCTGTGTCGGAAAATGGAATTTCTGGTATCATCCCTACCTCAATTTTCAATCTCTCCAATATTAGAGTTCTTCATTTGATCAAAAACCAAATACAAGGTAGTCTTCCATCGAACTTAGGAATCACTATGCCACATATTGTACATCTTTCCATAGCGGATAATCAATTTTTTGGACCATTCCCCATTTCAATATCCAATGCCTCGAATCTTCAAAACCTTAGTGTTGGGATAAACAGACTTAGTGGATCGATGCCTTCATTTGAAAAGTTGGATAAACTATCACAATTTTCAATCGTGCGCAACCATTTAGGAAGTAGGACTGCAACTGACCTGAACTTTCTCTGCACTTTAAACAATGCTTCTAGACTAAAGCAGATAGAGATAGCTGAAAACAACTTTGAAGGGGAATTACCGGATTGCATAGGCAATTTGTCGAGGAATCTTGAAACTTTAAATATTCAAGGGAATAGAATATTGGGAAGGATTCCGGATGGGATTGGAAATCTCATCGCCTTGGAGGTACTAGCGGCATCACAAAATCAATTATCGGGTTCTATTCCACTTGCCATTGGGAGACTTCAAAAGCTAAAGATATTTTATGCATCTCTCAATTCTCTCTCTGGGGCCATTCCCTCCTCTTTTGGAAATTTGACAATGTTAATCGAACTTGCTTTGAGATATAACAATCTTCATGGCAACATTCCTTCAAGTCTAGGTAAGTGTGAAAATTTGGTTGCCTTGATTCTTTCTCATAACAACCTTAGTGGTTCCATACCCCCTGAAGTAATTGGGCTCTCTTCCTTGTCTATTGTCCTAGACTTATCTTCAAATTATTTAACTGGTGTGCTTCCCGTTGAAGTGGGAAATCTGAAAAATTTAGGAGAATTGTTTGTGTCCCAAAATAGGTTATCGGGTGTGCTTCCAAACAATTTTGCTAGCAATGTAAGACTGGAGAGACTGTTCTTGGATGGCAATTTGTTCCAAGGCCCCATTCCTTCGTCTTTGAGTTCATTGAAAGGCCTTTCAGCTCTAGATATATCTAGAAATACTCTTTCCGGTGAGATTCCAGATTTTCTTGTGAGCTATGAGTTATTACAGTATCTAAATCTTTCTTTCAATGATTTCGAAGGTATGGTACCAATTGAAGGAGTCTTTAAAAATGCAAGCGCTGCACTCGTTGAGGGAAACAGTAAGCTTTGTGGAGGCATCCCTGAGTTACACTTGCCCAAATGTAACTTGAAAGCATCCAACAGGAGATCGAGCAATTCTCTTAAATTAAAAATTGCGATTGTTTTCGTGATTTTAGGAGTGACATTGGTATTCTCTTTTCTCCTCATTTTGAGGTTTAGAAGTGAAAAACAGAAGCCAACAGCAACAACTTGTGCAGAAAATTCACCTTTAAACTTATCATACCAAATCCTCCTAAAGGCTACTAATGGATTCTCCTTGACGAATTTAGTTGGCTCAGGTAGCTTTGGTTCTGTATACAAAGGAATTCTTGAAGAGAGTGGAGTAGTTATTGCTGTTAAGGTGCTTAATCTTCTATGTCGTGGAGCTTCTAGAAGTTTCATGGCTGAATGTGAGGCACTGAAGAACATCAGACATAGAAATCTTGTCAAGATCTTAACAGCAGTTTCAGGAATCGATTATCAAGGGAATGATTTTAAAGCATTGATTTATGAGTTCATGCAAAATGGGAGCTTGGAGGATTGGCTGCATCCATCAGTTGGCATAAATGAGGCAACAAAAAGCCTAAATTTTTTTCAGAGATTGAATGTGGCTGTTGATGTTGGTTGTGCATTGGAGTATCTTCATCATCATTGTGAAACACCAATTGTTCATTGTGACCTCAAACCAAGCAATATTCTACTTGATGATGAAATGGTTAGCCATGTAAATGACTTTGGGCTGGCAAAATTCATTACATCAAATATGCAAAATAACACTTCAAGCCTATCAAGCTCCCTTGGGTTAAGAGGAACAATTGGTTATGCACCGCCAGGTAAGTGGACAACTATACATTTAACTACCAAATCTATAATCTATATAATCTAATGTAGATTAAATTTGAAGCATATCCATAGTTTTCATTCAAGATCATAAAAGTAGAATGCATACTTTGAAATCAATATGTTATTTAATTTAGCATTTTAAGAGATTTGATGTGAGAAAGCTATTTGCATCTGTTTAGAAATTGTTGTTCTTATTTGTGACCACTAAATTGCAGAATATGGCGTGGGAAGTGTTGTGACAACATACGGTGATGTGTACAGCTATGGCATTCTCTTGCTGGAGATGTTTACTGGGAAAAAGCCCACTGATGGAATGTTCAAAGATGATTTTAACCTTCATAATTTTGTTAAAACAGCTTTGCCAAATCAAGTGGCTGAGATTACAGATCCCATTCTTCTTCAAGAAAGTTTTCAAGGAGAAATAATGATCAATAATACTCACATCCAGAGCAGCCAAGGAGATAACAGACTTCCTCAATACCTAAATTCAATATTTGAAATCGGAATTGCATGTTCTGTCGATTCGCCTGTTGAACGAATGAATATGACTGATGTTGTTGCTAAGCTTTGTTTTATAAAAGACAAGCTGCTCCCAACTCGACCATTAAGATCAACAGGTACGCAATCTTGTTTATAAATCCAAGTAACAATAACACATGAGTCATTATAAATATTTTTAAAAATGTTACATCCTTTACAAAATGCTAAACCCATGATATGTTCTTATTTAACTGATATTTTCATTCAAGTCCTAACTGGTTTTAAAGTTAAATATTTCCTTCAGCTGCAGGTACTAGGTGATAGTTTGTTGGCTTGTGAAGTTGCTGCACTCTTGATTGGCATTGCATTTACAACAAACTCTATCCTCCAAACTGAGAATAAGAAAAGATAATTATTACCTCAGCATATATAAGAAGTAACCATTCCCTTGTTTTCTGAAGGATCGACTCTGGAAGAATGTAGGATTTAGCTGCAAGTTCTAGTCTTTGTGCCTATCATTTCTTGAATAAAATACTTTTCCTTGTATTTAACTTTCTGTGATTGAGGGATTATGTCATATTTAAATTTAAGTTGTAAGTTCAGCCATGTTAATTCTAGAAAAATGAATAATAGGAAGCCTTTAGTTTATAATTATATTTACCACACACATATTGGGCTCGAACTTGATTAAATTTCATTTTTGTTACTTAAATTTGACTCAAAAAATAATTAATACACTCCAAATAGAGTCCTTATCTTTATATAGTTAAGGTAAAGCTTTGAATATATATAAGATGGTACTCTTATATTTTTTTGATGAATTGTTTTATTTTTGGACAGTATTTTTATGTATTTGTGTGTTAATTATTATCATATTATATGATATGATATTATACTTTTTTTTATTAAAATTGAAATTAATCTTGATAAATTCACAAGCCAATTGATCTCAAAACAACGTATTAATTAAAATGCATCCAAATTAAATTTTTTGTTTTAATTTTCATTAAAATTAAAGAAAAACAAATATCTATAGACAGAAAGAGTTTTAATTTCTTATTATACAAAAAAAAAAAAAAAAACCTCCTTCATGGACCATCTAATTCTAAGTAACAAGCAATTTTTGAGGGTCTCATTGAGCTTTAACTGGGTTGATTTATAGACTACTATTGAGCCCTTTTCGGGCTTATAAGAAATAATTTAATTCATTAATTTCCTAAGAGATGAAAATAACTTAGAGCTCATAAGTCAATTTAAGGCAAGCCATTGCTTACTATAAATCTAAACGATTAAAGGTTCAATTCACCATCGTTTATATATATATACACGGGACTCTCTACCAACCATTAGAATATTGATATTGACACAAGTTGACTGAGTCAAGGTCTTTGCAATTTTCCAAGTTAATTGAATCTTTATCTCTACCAACCATACACCACTTGAAATCCATGGTTAAATTAGAACAATGTAACCTATCAGCAATGTGATTGATCTGGTGATTGTATATGAAGCTATTATGTTGCGGTTGTTCTTCTTTCCTTCTGGCACCCTCCCTTCTTTCTGTCTTTCACTACAAAAAATAAGGAAAACTTTCGACGAAGATTCTAAACTTTGTTCTGCGTTGGCTGGTTCATAGTCTTTTATCCAGACAACAACTATCTTTGGTGGAAATTCTAATTCTGCAACTTGTTTGAAGGAGCAAGAAAGACTGATTCAGCAGCCAAGTAGTTCCCTGAGCTTACAGCTTTTACCACTAGAAAGACTTCACCTGCTAGAAAATTCGTTTGCATTGTAAGAATGTTGAATTTAGTTTCAAGTTCTAGTCTTGTATCTACATTTTCTTGACTAAAATTCCAACTCTACTGTTTAATGCTTGATGAATAAAATAAATTTTCTCGTTCTGTGATTGAGGATGAGGTTATGTTTGAATTGATCTGGTTAAATTCGGCTACGTTTAATTCCAAACAAAATGATTTTTAAGAAGCTTCCGTCCTATGCATTGCTGGAGAATGGCTTTCCTTCAAAACTTTCTTTTCCAATTTCCACAAAGAAATTACAAGGCAACCTACCTTTTAATTAAGTAGCATAAATGATAGTCCTAAAACTCCAGCTCTGACTTGAAATTGCCTGGACGTATTGCAAGGGGCAATGATGACCAATAGCCCTCAATCCTTTACTGTACCTGACAAAGCTAAATGGTTTCGCTGGTCACATGACTAATTCAAGTATTCAGCGTGTCCAAAACTTCACTGACCAGTATAAAACCAGATAAAATCAGAGTCCCGAAAGTCCTATATTGCACTTAGTTCTTGTTGATGAACTAAGCACTCTCAGCTCAAGTATACAAACTAATTTCAGCTCAAAATCTTATACGTGGCTTGATGATGAAGCTATCAAGCAAGCATTTGAAACTTTCCAGCTCTATTTTCCTTGTTTACCTTGTCGTTATTCTCCTTACTCTCTTTAACCTCCAAGGTCCTAACTTGCTTGGTTCAGCAGCCCCTGTGGTTAATGGAAATGAGACAGATCAACGAGCTTTACTCGAGTTCAAGGAACAAATAATTGATGACCAATTCGGGGTAATGGGCTCCTGGAATAATACTATCCACTTCTGCCAATGGTATGGTGTTACATGCAGTCGCAGACATCAGAGAGTCACCATCTTGGACTTGGGATCCCAAAAGCTCGTGGGGTCTATATCACCATTTATTGGAAATTTGAGTTTTCTTAGGGTGTTAAACCTCGAAAACAACAGTTTCTATCAAGCAATCCCTCAAGAAATTGGCAGTTTGAGAAGATTGCGAGAATTAACACTGGAAAACAACACCCTAAGTGGTGTCATTCCTTCCAATTTGTCTAGTTGTTCTCGGCTTGAATCAGTTATATTATACGGTAACCGGCTAACAGGAGAAATACCAGGTGTGTTTGGTCTCTTGTCAAACCTACAAGGACTTTCTTTTAGCTTTAATAATTTAAGAGGGGATATCCCGCCTTCCTTGGGTAACTTATCCTCTTTGTATTTTATTTATCTATATGGCAATAGATTGAGTGGGGTTATACCTGAAACGATTGGCAAACTGACAAATCTTATATATTTTGGTGTGAGTGGTAATGAAATTTCTGGTGTCGTCCCTCCTCCAATTTTCAATCTCTCCAATATTAGAGTTCTTCATATAGGCTTAAACCAGATACAGGGCAGTCTTCCCTCGGACCTAGGAATCACTATGCCAAAGATTGAAATCCTTTCTATCGGGTTTAATCAATTTGTTGGACCACTCCCCGTTTCAATATCCAATGCCTCAAATCTTTCTGAACTTAATGCTCAAGGAAACAAACTTACTGGACCCTTGCCTTCATTTGAAAAGCTGGATAAACTATCACGATTTTTAATTGGTCACAACCTTCTTGGAAGTACGATGGCAACTGACCTGAAC